ATGAATTACGTTTTAAAACGACATTTTAAAACCTCGGACGAACCGGCAGAGCAGCGGCAACACGAAATCTCATCTGTGTAATACAGGACGCTGAAAAACGAGTGCTACATGCTTAGCGCTATTAACACACGGGAAATTTAAATGAAAAAAAAGTGGAAATTTAATAAACACACTCAAATCAAAGTTCCGAACACAAAAGAAAATGCACGTAACACTTATTTATTTCAGCCATTATTTGGAAATTAGGGTAAATATGCCTGTTTATAAGAGATTATGCGGGGTCAGTGCCACACGATAAATATTTAAACCATTAACTTCCTACGATCTTAATTAGCCAGGAAAGGATTAACCAAAATTCAGAAAAGTTGATTCATTTATTTTAATAGCTTGTAGAACTCGTCAAAAGAAGTCGATATACCAAAAATCACCTAAATAAAAATTGCATATTAAAATAAATAAAAAGGAATTTCAAAATTTTAAAACTAAAACAAATACAAACTATTTATCCGCATATTTTAATATTCCTGACCACTGCCAAGTAAAAACTTATCGTTGTTTGTTTACTACGACAATTTTACTTATCTAGGTATGGCTATTTTTTTTTGTTTTACGGTTTTGAGAACGATTTTCGGTTAATTATTGGTATCAAGCGTTTAGTTCGTATCACTTTATTTTTTTTTGATATTTTATACGGAAAAATAGCTCACGTTTATGGAAACAATGAACTAGTGACATAATGGAGAGTGCCAACAAAATGCAGCCGCAGCATGTCGCCTTTACGCGGAAAGGTTTCCATTAAGAAATCATCCGGCTCCACGGATGTTTGTAAATTTAGTTATTCGACTTCGTGAGACAGGATACTTGAAAGAACAACGAGGGGGTCACGCTGGAAGACCTGCTTCACCTGAAATGGTAGAAATTGAGAAAAATATTTTGGAAATAGTGGAAGATGACCCAACAATAAGTACCAGAGCCATAGCAACTCAAGTCGATGTTTCCCATAGTAAAGTGTGGAAAACAATACAACAGGAACAATATTATCCTTATCATTATCAACGGGTACAAGCATTACAACCTGAAGATCATCCTAGAAGAGTTGAATTTTGCCTGTGGTTTTTACAACAGTTGAACAGAAATGAAAATTTTACGAAAATCATTTTAGCTACAGACGAATCCACATTTACACGAAATGGGATATTCAATTTTCACAACAATCATGTTTGGGCAGTAGAAAATCAGCATGCCGTAAGAAGATCTAATTTCTAACATAGATTTTCATTAAATGTTTGGGCTGGTGTAGTAAATGGCATGCTTATTGGACCATACTTTTTTGCACCTCGGCTAACCAGTGACATTTATTTAGATTTTCTTCGACACCATCTGCTAGGATTATTAGAAGATATTCCACTGAATGTTAGGCAGGATATGTGGTTTCTACATAACGGAGCTCCACCGCATTTCAGAAGAGGAATATTTGAATGAACAGTTTCCGCATAGATAGATAGGGAGGAATGGACCCGTTTCTTGGCCTGCACGCTCCCCGAACCTAACACCTTGTGATTTTTTTCTGTGAGGTTATTTAAAAGAGTTGGTGTATCATGATGAAGAAGTAAATACTGTGGAAGAACTTCAAGACCGCATTGTAAATGCTTGTGATGTTATTCGTGGACATCCGGATTTTATTTTTGAGGCCTGTCAGGAGTCGTGGGTACGCCGAACAAGACTATGCATTAATCGGACAAATAGTGACAATTTTAAACAATTTTTGTAAAAATGGAATACATTTTACAGATAATGAATGTTTTTAATTTTAAAAAACCTATAACTCCCTTATTATGCAACTTTTATTTAGGTAATTTTTAGTATATCGACTTCTTTTGACGAATTCTACAAGCTGTTAAAATAAATGACTCAACTTTGAAAACATTCTGTATATCTCTTATTTACTTACCTTAATAAACATTAATTTTCAAGTTAATAAATATAACACGATGTCTATCTCAGTCAACCGGGCAATGTTAACACAAAAAGTTATTATACACTACCAACACTTTAGTTTAACATAAAAATAAATTACTACAACTAACCATATACCTGTCTCGCGCTACGACACTGATTTATTTAATTAAATTAATACCTAACTGGTTTATTAGCTTTCCCAGTAGACCTTCTCAGTATTGACGAGTTTATCGTTGATTTAAAGTATTTACCTAACTTGGCTAGATATAATATTTGTACGAGGAGTATATATTATGAAATAATCTCTTTTTAAATTTCCAAGTTGACGAAGCATAAACAATAAAATGATTCTGGTAAGTTGTTCGAGTATAGCAGACGATCGGCGTCGATGACGTAGCGTACCGGCGTCGCCACTACAAGAAAAACAGGGGGACGTGGCCTATTTATTCGAACTTTGATAATTAACTGGGAAGTAACTGTAAATACTAGAAAAATCAACAAAATCGCTCCTTTTTTATAAAAAAAATCCGAATGTGGTTTCCAAACTCATTATAGTCAGAAAATATTAGTTTTGTAACGACATTAAAATAAACACCGCCCTGTACAATCGAAATATCGACTGTTTCGAATTAACGACCCTGAAATAATGAACGATTTAAAAGGAAAAGTTAAACCTCAAATTAGATTTCCTTGCATAATGAATAAGAGACCTTTTCAAAAGTCACAATGAGGGCGAGGAAAATGTCGATCATCGACGAAGTGGTTGGTTCTTTCTTCTAATAGGTTAAAAGGGCGGGGGAGTTATGGTTTATTCAATATATCAGTCTCATATTGTTTAAATAAGTGTAATAAACGGGTGTGTGAATATGCAGTTCGATTTTGATCAGTGAATTATTTTGTAAGTGGCGTTTTTTCGATTTATAAAAATTTAAAGTGTTGGATTCAAAATCTTTTATTTATTTAAACAATTTGGATGACGGCGATTTATGTTCTGTTAGTTGGTTAAAGCGAATTACATAATAGAAACCGCTGACCTGTCGAGAAGTTCCGAGAATTTCACCAGCCGGCAGTTCAAGTTACTTGCTATCTCTGAACAAGCGGAGTTCGGGCAAGCGGTCAAGTGCGGGAAAGACACTTTACGCATGAGTTAGGAACATTATTTTTTCTACGACCGTATATACAAAAAAGTAGGAAAAATTATTTTTGGAAAATTATTTTATTTCAACATATACAAATCTTTAAATAAAAACAACTAATTATTATGGATATTAATGTTAAATACACAATTTGTAGCATTTTGTAAATTATGTAAAATTGCCGGTACAGAGGAATTAGTTAATGTTAATTGGCTGTTAATAGTCGTAACGCTCGTAGATTGAAAAGATGACGTGGACGGGAGTGACATCGGTTGCAGGTCGCATGAAGGTGAAAATGACGGTGGCAGCAAAGGTTGCAAGTCATTTCTATTTGAAAGAATTTTATTCGAAATGTTTTTCTTCTGTGTTTCGGAGTCCTCCAAATAGCCTTCAGCGATAGTAGTGGACTTCCAGCCACCGAGACGTTTTATATTGGTTATCGCTTCACCTGAGTCTGCTAGGAATATTGCTGAAGAACGTCTAAAACTGTGTCCTGTATATCGTTCAGGATTAGGTAGACGCAAATATGCAGCAATCTCTGTTGGCATCTTACCAAAGGTGTTTACGCCAACGCACTGAATTGAGCATTTTCCCTTCTTATAATTTATTAATAAAAAAGCGGCGATGCGGAGTGGTAGGTGGTCGTAAACCTGCGTACTTTCTGTACAGCTTCAGAAAGTTTCCATTATTTATTTCTTCACATAAAACAAATGATCTTGAAGAATGATTTTTGGAATCGGAAATTTTCCCAACTATCAGATTGCCTTTATCTTGTATATCATCGAGAGTGATATTTACAAGCTCCGCTCTGCGGAGAGCACCAGCTGAAGCAAAAATGGTACTCACTTTAATCATAAGGTATACCTCATCAGGGGCTAACATAAACCTGGATATATCTTCTTTGGTAAAAACCTGCGCCTTCTGTGCTCGAAAACCAACATTTTTTTTTATTTTTACTAAACTTTTCACCATCGAATAGCGAGACCATAAAGTATTAGATTTCAAAAACTTACTTAGGTGCGAAAAATACGCCAGAAACACCTCTTCTTTGTAGGTTTTTACCCCTTCCTGTTCACACCATGTGACAAAATGGTCGTATTGTTTTTCATATCTTCCTCGTGATTTGGCAGGTAACACCTCCAAATGTGCTTCATTTGCAGCTTTTAAAATGGCTTCGGGCAGCTCTTCATCCGATGAATCCATTATTTCATTAATTTATTTTAATTCAGTTGACGCTTCAACAAACAACTTTGACGTTTTTGTAACAATAACACGCCTTGGTTACCATATAGCAACCATATCAAGCCATACATGTCACAGCCTAGTCTGACTTTTAAAAATATATAAAAATATCTCTATTATTCAAGTTTTCCAAAAAATTTAAATTATAACAAAAAGCAAGAAAAAAAGTAAATTTTATTAAATGGAATAGTTGGAAAATACTAAATTACCTATTGTAACAATAGTTATAACATCCGAGGTAAAAAAACTATACAATAGGTAAGGCCAAATATTCATAATTTTACTTTCCCGCACTAGTGCGGGAAAGTGATTTTTTCCCGCACTAGTGCGGGAAAGTGACACTTTCAAAACTAAAATGCGTGCGGGAAAATGGGTAAAAATACACGGTCGTAGAAAAAATATTTTTTTTTAAAAACGATTTTTCAAATCGTATTATATTTTTAGCAGTATGCGTAGAACACGAACAGATGGGTTCGAATCCACTCGTGAACAGAATTTTTTAAATTTTTCATTAAATTTGTTTTCACTTCAAACATAATGTTCATCATTTCATAGGCGCAATTTTGGAATTTATTTGGGGACTTCCAAGAAATTTAACAAAAATCTAATTCTTTCGATTACCTTTATGTAATAATTACAATCTTACATTATTTGTCATTTTAGGATACTGTATATCTTCTTTAAGTGATACAAAACGCACTAAGGGTCATATACCGTACCGAGATTCCAAATTGACCAAACTTCTAGCCGATTCCTTAGCCGGCAATGGTGTAACATTAATGGTAATCATTATCGCAAAACTAAAATTTTTTATTTTGCTAAATTATTGCTTATTTTTCTAGATAGCATGTATATCACCAGCAAAATCCAACATCCATGAAACACTTAACACGCTCCGATATGCTGCTAGAGCAAAAAAAATACGCACCAAGCCCATCGTGGTAATGGTAAGTATAAAATGCAAACTTTATAACAATATTGAACCAAACGGCAATTTATAATCAAATGCATTTAAAAATAATGGTATCAAAATACCATTTGGAATATAACAATTATTCGAACAGGGTCGTATTCAGGAGTATTAATTTTTCAGGACCCCAGAGAGGCGCTAATATTGAACCTAAAAAGAGAACTATCTACGTTGCAAAACGAAAATCAACACTTAAAATCGGCTCTAAACGCTTATTCTGGTTCTACAGTGAGCGACTTTTCTTCAGGTATAATTTGATATTTTAATATGTTTCTTATGTATTTTTATTATAAAATTGTAGAAAGAAGAATTTTAGAAACTCCTCCGCACGTAGATTTGGAAGAATTGGCAAATTTGGAAGGACCCGAACTGGCTGAACTTGTCAGATTGTATATGAAGGAAAATGAAGCTCTTAGGAGAGATAATGCTGAGTTGTTTACAACTAGAGACACTTTACAAAGGGATCATGAGGTTGTTTGTAGGGAAAACGAGAGACTATTGAAGAAATTGGAAGAAGTTAACTCGTAAGTATATGTTTTTTACAGTATTAATAGATTTTGTTTTAACCTAAAGGCTTTTTTACACTGTTATACCGCCAAAAGCTTCCATTAGAAATATAAAATTAATTTTTGTTACCTTAATTTGCTGAGCTTATCTGAAGTTTCTAATGGACGATTTTTGGTGACATCCGGTGTATTTATTTTAGAATATGTTGCAGCTCGCCTTTAATTCCAGCTAGACCAGCTTATTCCGCCGAGGTGCAAACTAACGTCGATAATACCAATATTTGGACTAATCCTGTACCCGAGAAATCTTCAGTACGTATTTTTAGTCACAAAATTGTCTCGTCGTTCCTCTAAATACGTTATTTTGAATTTTTAGCAAATACCAGAATCGATTCGAAAAGAATTGGACAAACGGCAAATAGGGAATAGGTATGTACCCATTTTGAACTGTTTAGAGTTATTGAACTACAAAAAAAATATAATATGAATAAATAACGGTTGAAATATATAGGGTGTTTTCTAACTACGGTATGAAATTTCATGGAATGATTCCTTATCGCTGTTGCTAGGTACACGCTAAAGTGTACACAAATCAAAAAATTATATACACGCGAAACGTCACATTGCTGTGGTGGGAGGTGTTTGTGTGAATGCGTCTTGTTTGTTTTCATTTACGCCATGACTAGCACAGTAGTATTTTATAAACCTTAGAAGCAAATTTCACATACATGAACAAATAATAATAATGCCGTGACAACAAGAAAACGAAGGAACGACTTCTCGTAGGGTGGCGGCTTCGCCGCCACAAAAAAATTTAATCCATACCTAGCTACGACCGGCGTAAACACTAACGGCCTGCACACAACTCACCTACTCTGTCAAGACGTTTCGCGTGTATATAAATTTTTGAATTCCGTACAAGTTAGCGTGTACCTAGACACTGTGATTCCTTATAGGAACTTTTTTCATAAAACGACATAAGGAATGGCGCTCTGAAGTTTTGTACCGTAGTTAGAAAACACCCTGTATACGATAGAAGTTATACAACAGTATATATTGTAAACACTTTACATAATAATAATAATAATGGGTTTATAGAGCCAAATCATGCTTATTTTAAAATAAATCAACTATAAATGCAGTAAAATACTTCCTACGGTGTTTTTTTGAATTGTTTAACTTAGATTAGAGTAGATTAGATTAGGAGTTGGACGTTATTCGTCCTTGTCCACCGCGACCTTTTCAGATCTATTGTGGGGCTCCGTTTGTTTTAGAGTATGTCGTCTAGCCTGGTCTTTTTTATTAAACTTAGTAGCTTTGACAGTGGCTCACGCATTTAGTTTCATGCATTTGGCTTTTCTTCGCCCAATGTTAGAAACCTCATTCCAGCCAGGCCTTCACGTTGGCACAGGATGTGGAATGATGTTTTATCTTCTTCTTCACAGAACCTGCACAAAGTTGCTTCTTCTGCTGGATTGATGACACTCATGTACCTTCTGAGGCGACAGTGTCCTGTAAAAAGGCCAACTGTTATCCTAACGGTTTGACCGATGGTTCCTTTATGAACTGTCTGGCCTGTCTCAGTCTTGGATAGTTGTTCCACCATTCCTGAGATTCTTTTTGCATCCATTGTTTAATGGATGCCTTGCACAATGCCTTAGCAATTCCACAGAAGGGTTCAGGGCCTGTCATGGCCTTATCTGAGCCTTCTCGGGCTAAATCGTCGGCCTTTTCATTGCCCTGATATCCCTCATGGCCTGGAACCCAGGCTAGGGTCACCTTATTTTGATTACTTAACTCTGTCAGGTCTTCTAGACAGTCTTTCACCAGTCGTGATTTGATTTCTGGTAAGAGAATTGCCTTTAGGAGCTGCTTGGCTATCAGAGTATATAGCAATAGTTTTGCCTGATACTTGCGGATTTAATATTTCTCTTGCACAGTCTTGTATGGCTATTAGCTCAGCCTGAAACACTGTTGCATATTTTCCTAAACTCAGCGAAATCGTTGTTTTCGACTTGAGTCCTTCCTTGGTTTTTGAACCGTCTGTGTACACAGACGAGTTCAACCTATACGGGAGGTTCCTGTTTCCAGGATTTTCGGGCTGGTATTTGAATTTGAAAATTTCCTTCAAATTTGTATGTGGTTATGGTTCTATCAGTAGGCATAGCTAGAATATTATCCCTTTTTACTTGCTGATATAGCCTTGTGTGGTCGGCGCTATGTAGTTGGCTTATTGGGTTTTGTCCCTGCATTAGCCTGTGAATAGCTGACCTGGTTTCTTCTTGTATGAAGATGTACAGTGGCGTGAGATTTAATAATACCTCCATTGCTGCAGTCGGCGTAGTGCGCATGGCCCCAGTAGCACTTAGACAGGCAAGCCGCTAAATGCTAGTGAGTTGGCCTATTGCACTTGCCTGCGCAGTTTTGGTTACCCACGTCACTGCGCCATAGGTTATCATGGTTCTTGTGTATAACCATATGGTCATTTTGGGGTTTAGACCCCAGTTTTTCCCACATATTCTTCTACAGCTTACGAGAGCTATTGTAGCTTTGTATGTGAGTTTTTTGAGATGTTGATTCCACGTTAGCCTTTGGTCAAATATGATTCCGAGGTATTTGGCTTCTGTGACGAATGGGATAACTATATTGTTTAGTACTAGTGGCCTTAATCCTGTAAGTATCCGTTGTTTTCTGTGCGTTAATGGACAATTGTTCCTTTTTGCACCAGTTGTTCACTATGTTTAGAGCTGTTTGAGATCGCTCCGAGACTGTGCCTGCAAATCGCCCCCTGACGATAATTGCTAGGTCGTCTGTGTATCCTAGGCTCTGGTAGCCTTCTTTGGACAATATTTTGAGTAAGTCGTTCACAAGAACTGACCACAGCATTGGAGATAGTATTCCTCCTTGTGGGCAGCCCCGTGTAACTTTCGCCTTTCCTAGAGTGGATAAAATAATCCTGTTCTCTAGACAGGCAGTAATCCATTGGCATATTGTTACTGGGACGTTTCTATCTTCTAGAGCCTTGGTTATTGATCTGGTTAAGGCATTGTTGAAAGCTCCTTCAATATCTAAGAAAGTGGCTATTGCGATTTCTTTGTCATCTATTGACTTTGAAAGCAGCCTGTTTAGATCGTCCAGCGCTAGGCCAGTTGACTTTACCTGGCTGGTATGCAAATTGGTTGGGATGGAGCGGATTTATTTTTAGTATATCGTCCCTGATATACCTATCTATCAATTTTTCTAGAGTTTTAAGTAGGAAGGAGGATAGGCTTATGGGGCGATATCACTTTGGCGTTTGGTCTATGACCCTACCTACTTTGGCAAGGTAGACTACTTTCGCCTTTTGCTATATTGCCGGGATATATCTCCAGGCAATACATGCTCTGAAGATTTTGCATAAATGTGGCATTAACACATCTTTACCCTTCTGGAGCAGAATTGGATATATTCCATCCGGCCCCGGGATTTGTATGCCTTAAATTTGTTGATAGCCCAACTAATCCTGTGTGGTCTTGTGATCTCGGGGGCAGCTTCCAGTCTATTTGAGTTGTTCTGATTCCCTGGTAACTGTAGTTCTCCTGGTCTCCTGATTCTGGTCCTGTTAGGATAGTTGAGGTCGGAAAGTGCACCTGAGTTAGTATCTCCAGACTTTTCTCTAGTGTCCGGGTGTAGGTATCATCCTCTTTTTTGAGGAATCCCACTTGACTAGATGTACTATCTTTGGCTATACCTCTATGGATTTTAGCGCTGGCGATGGTCTCTGAGACCTCTTCGCAGAACTTCCTCCATGAGTTTCTTTTAGCCTTGCATACTTTCTTGTTATAATCTGTGAGCTTATTTTTATAAGTAGTCCAGTCTTGTGTGGATTTGGCTCTGTTGAATAGCCTTCGCACCTCGCCTCTCGTTTGGCATCTTTCTTGTTCAACTTATAAGATGCCCCATGTTTTTTGTTTTTTTTTTATCCTCGGTTTGTTTGAGTTAGTCTCCGATAACACTGATGCCTAGTGGATTATTGTGTTTAACCCTATGTTAGTTTATAGTGCCCACTAAGTCAATTTTGTCCCTTGTACAAGTATTTGACAGAGCCTCTTGTATCAACCTGTGGTTGTCCAAAAAGTGCCTGTCTTTTGCGATCCAATGTTTCGAAGTCGCATAGTATGTGTTTGGCTGATTCTGATTCCTTGTGACAAAGTTCTTTACCAGGATATGACCAGTCATGAGTCCTGCCATGGTTTTAAACTGGTTTATATTCATAGAAAGTAATTTATTTTGATCATTGTCTTCCTATGAAGGTTTTTCCATGTGCTTGTTTTGGGACGTTCTCTCAATAATTCTTGTGTTTTCTCCGAATCTAAACTTTTATGGAACCTTGAATTATACTTTTTGATACTCCAAGGTCTATATTTGAACCCAATATTTCTTCTGACCTTCTTTTTACAAGTTACAAGTCTTTTTATTGCTCTCGATTTCTTAATGACGTGGAATCCAAACTATTTTTACTCTATTTCGGTTTGTAAGTGTCTTAGTTCTTAGATGCAATCCCATGCCAGCAATGACGTTACTTTCTGACTCGATGTGGTCTTCAGAGCCATCTGGCTTTGTGAAATTATTTGGATATGCTTATTTCTTCTTGCACATTGCAAGATTGCATAAATTTCAGCCTGAAATAAGTATGTTTTCTTATTGCATAGTCAAGACCTGTCTTCTGTAGTCCTAGACCCGTCTAAGGTATACCAGATTTGTTCCTATCGTTGGGTCATCTGTTCTGTTTGGTATTAAAACCTCGAATGGAGTGTTATGCTTGGTTATGCGACCAGTTCTCATGTCTCCTGTCACTAACCTTGTGATACTTATATGACCTGGCCTAATGTTAAAATTTCCCAGAGTATTCTTCTAATCTATAAATCTTGCTTCCCCTTGTATCACAAAGTGAAGTTGTTAGTGCTCATATTTAATCTTCATTAATTTAATAATGAAGGTTTTGTTTTACAGTAATCAGACCATAGGACATCGTAGACATAATTCTTTGGAAGACAAGGCTAGCGCTACAAAAGCAAGACGCGTACAGATTAATCAATCTGAAAATGAGGATAGCAAAAGGTATTGTAAATTTATGATAATTCCAACAACGACCGTTTTTATTTATTATTTTGATATTAACAAATATAAAATTAAACTACTATTGATTCTTGTGGAATATTTATGAACATCCTTAACCATCTATGCCTACTGGTTTTAAAAATGTTTCTCTTAAAGCTAAAAGGTTACCATCATTTATTTCAAATAAAGACAGTATTTAAATTTATCATCATGTAAATCCTATAATTATAACGAATGTTTAACAAAATTTGTTGATATTTTACGATCTAACGTTCTTTACATGTTTTTACATTACAACATCGTTCAACTCTACGTTTCTTCTGAATTGACCTTTCTATGTTTAAGGATTTACACGTAGGTAAATATTTGAAAACGCTTTGTGAATAACGGATGGTAGTGTAACTTTTGTTTGTATTTTGATTACGAACAAATGTTTAAATAATTTGTTAAAGAAATGTTACAGAAATGACAGCTGATGATCGGAAGAAAGAGTTCCAAAGAAGATATTCGATAGCGAACAAAGATGGCATACAAAGAAATTCCGAAATTTTTGGGAGCACCATATCTTTAAACGACGAAGATGAACTTAGTTGAAAAATATTCAAATTCAGAAATGTAACTTAACAAAGTACATCACAGTAATACTTTTATTGAACAATTTTGTGAAATTACTAGTAATAAATAGTTTTTAAAGCAAAAAGTCTTCTGCAATCGTTTGTTGTGAGTAATTGAGAAATAATTATATTTTAGCAAGAGAGAAACTGTTTATATTGTAATTATGAGAGATTTGAAATATATTTTGCAACAATTTTACGATTTTTATTTGTTTCAAATCTAGATTTTACCAACGTCGAAAAAATAATCATGTTGCATTAGAAAGAGCGAGACGTCTACTAAATTAAGTGGGAATGTTTTTTTTATTTATTCCAATTAAAATATTTATACAATAGATGAAAAAGAAATATTACAAAAGAAATAATCACAGTTCATTTTAACTCTAGCTTACGCTATATGTGAGCTCTACAAGCCAAGACAGGCATTTTAATTACAAAAAAATAATAATTAAAATTAAATACATATAAAAAAGAAAAATTACAAGATATACATATATCAGAAGAACTTAGTTCATTCATTGCCCACGTTTTATGAATAATCCCTATTTGTACAACGATGTCCGCTTTACACCATTGCTAAACTGCAAAATAAATGGTATACTTTCCCGTAAATTCTCTACAATAATAAGTGAAAACAGAAAAAACATTAAACAGATAAATGAATATAATAAAATTTTATTCACTATACAAACAGTATATTTGTAACAAGTCATAAATAAATAAATAAATAAAATATACTCCAGAAAATAAAATAAAAAACAATTTATTACAGTTTTTAAACAGTCAAAATTGGTAACTACGGCCAAACTGTGACGCAAAAACAACACACTTATTATAGATGATCTTTTACCAGTCATATCGATATGACAGGTCCATGATAGAATACAAATTTTATTTTTAACAGTTTGACACTACCAGATCCAAAATTAAGGTTTTGAGTTTTGCATCATTTAGCTTAAGCTTATTAGTATAGAACAATTTTTTGACAATTCAATACTTTCCTTAGTAGAATTTGACAGGCGAGATTCATCTTTTCCAATTGAGATAAAAGTATCGCAAGAAGAATAGTTTTACGAGGGCACATACATTTAGATCGTTGACGTATATAATGAACATTAGAGGCATTGTCACTGTTTCCAGCGCCACTTTAGAAACGGTACTGTTAATTAGAACCCATCAGAGAATAGTTGAGTCAGGAGTCCTACATATATATACGTTCCTAGTGCCGATAAAACACTTTCTAGAGATGATACTGTTCTATACTTTTTAGAGGATATTATTAAATAGTATGAGACTATTTTTATTTATGGTACTGTTAGCAAAATAAAAAGAGGAAAGCTGAAATTAAAGGATGAGGTAATACCATGTACATTCCCAAATCTCCCTTTATACTTCTATTACAACAATAAAAAAATCTGTTAACTGTGTTTTATTTTACTCTTAAAACTATATATTGGTTCAATTCAAAAAAAAATTTGTCACAAAATTGTACATATCAAATTTCAGCAATTAAGAAACCTTTTCGAATTTGGTCATACGTACCTAATTTGTATTTTATATAGATAAAATTTTAATAATTAACAATTAAAACATGCCAGACTTATTTAGAAATAAATACAACAGTATGTTCTGTGCTTTATTTAGCTGTAAACAAGTTTATTTTTATTATTTTGGCAAAATTATGTATAATTCCCACAAGAAGTCATGTATTTTGATTTTGAACAACATATGTAGTACCAGCGCTCATGCGGTTAATTATAGAAGCTCAATTAGTATGCGTTTTTTGGGACCGTATTTTGAGTATACCGATTCGTTTCATTATCTGTAGTCTTCTAACCACTGAACCACTCGCCCTTAATTTTGGGAAAATTAAATTTCCGTGAGACGAAGCATTTTGTACTTGGAGCTAGCCCGGTCCTGTTTTATTCACAGATATGTTCCGATTCAGTGATACCAACAGTTGAAAACTTAACGACCCCGATCGAGATTTAATTGGTCATTAAAATCTAGTCTATTTTCTTATTTTTCAAATTTAAACTTTTCCCTAAAGCATTACTGGCATGTGTCAAAATTATTTGTTCTGATACATTCATGTCATTCATCAAATATTTATAAAATTAAAAAGAAACTCCATAAAGTTCTTCAGTTACTTTGAGCATGTAAGGTTGGTGATTGTGATTTCGCATTGCGCATGAGAACTTGCGTGTTGGATTCCTTTGTCCATTCTGTTCATTTTTTTTAGCTTTACGTTATTAATGTCGAGCCGGTGATTATATGATTTTTTTACGTGAATACTTCTAACAACAGACTTATAAAATTGTGTCTTTTCGTGTCCGATGTCTAGTGCTGGAATCGCAGACAGCTCCATCGATCCACCAGCAAAAAAGCGGAAGCTTGACTCGAAACTAGCTACCCCCGAAATGGCGAATTGTGAAGCATCAGGATCCTCCAATGTCGGAGACATCGACGAGGGATTGTACTCCAGACAGCTGTACGTATTGGGACACGATGCTATGCGCCGCATGGCCAACAGTGATGTACTCGTATCAGGATTAGGAGGTTTGGGTGTCGAAGTAGCTAAAAATGTGATCCTCGGTGGTGTCAAATCAGTGACTCTGCATGACGATGCTCTTTGCACCGTGCAGGATTTATCGTCCCAATTTTATCTAACGGAATCCGATGTAGGCAAAAACCGCGCTGAAGCTTGCTGCAAGCAGCTTTCAGAACTTAACACTTACGTCCCGACCAAAGCTTACACGGGGCCCTTAGATGAGAAAATCATAAAGAAATTCAGGGTTGTGGTTTTAACTACGAGTACTCGTGCCGAACAGATACGTATCAGCGAAATAACTCACGCTAATGATATTGCTTTAATCATCGCTGATACGAAAGGTCTTTTTGCTCAGGTTTTCTGCGATTTTGGTAAATCTTTCTCCGTGGTGGACGTAAACGGTGAAACACCGGTATCTACGATGATAGCAGACATCTCCAGTGATAAAGACAGCGTCGTAACTTGCATAGACGACACGAGACACGGTATGGAAGAAGGAGACTATGTAACTTTCTCTGAAATACAAGGTATGACTGAATTAAACCACTGTAAACCAATAAAAATCAAAGTATTAGGCCCTTACACGTTCAGCATTGGTGATACCACTAATTTCACAAAATACGTACGTGGCGGTATCGTTTCTCAAGTCAAGATGCCGAAAGAATTGAATTTCAAACCTTTAAAAGAATCCTTACAGAATCCTGAATTCGTTATAACCGATTATGCTAAGTTTGATCACCCTGTGCAGTTACACTTGGCTTATACAACTCTGCACAAGTATGTAGAAAAGACAGGCAGATTGCCTAAACCTTGGAACAATGATGATGCTTCTCAGTTCATCACTTTAGCTAAATCTTTGGCCGTGAACGGGTCTACAGATGCAGAAGTTAATACAGATATTTTGGAAGTGTTTTCAAAAGTGTGTGCTGGGGAATTGAACCCTATTAATGCTACGATCGGGGGCATCGTGGCTCAGGAGGTTATGAAGGCTTCTTCTGGGAAGTTCCATCCCATTTATCAATGGTTGTACTTCGATGCCATTGAGTGTTTGCCTCAAGAGAAAACTGAAATTACCGAGGAACTAGCGGCTCCTACTGGTAGCAGATATGATGGACAGATTGCTGTGTTTGGAAAGGATTTCCAGAAAAGATTGGGTGAGTAATTTTATAAATGATATTCTGATTTTCAAACAAGTAATATTGATATAATAGGTATTTAGAAATTTTTATTGATTTTTCTTATCATTAGCATTCATTGAATAACTATTTAAAATAGTTTTATTTTTTTAATAACATTTTTATTTATTCTGTCATTAGTTTATGTAATAAGAAATGGAACCAATAAATGTGTTAAAAGTAGTAATAATATCGCAGCATCATAAATATCTGCATAACCTTTTTGTGATATGGTCCTCCAAAAATTGTTTATAAACAACAATTTCTAATTGGGCCAGATGAGATAATTGTAAACGATTTATGCAACTCTGGATTTATTTAATTTTGTTTTACCTAATTGCCATATCTTTCCAAAAATAAATAGAAAATGAAGAATTATGCATTTTTTGGATCATATATTTCACTAAATGGTTGAATTTCTACTGTTAAAAGAATTGAAGACTGTTTTGAAAAAGCTAAAGACTGATTAGGCATATTTAATAATAATAAAATGCCTTTATTTGTATTGTGATATCAATCAGAGATATAGCAAGTCATTGATAAAATATAATATTCACAATATCAAGATTAATTCGACAATCAATACACTGTATAAATATTCATGCCAGTGTAAGCCCTGTTGCCACTTCCAACCTAACTTCACTAGGTTTTGGAATGTATTGAAAGTTATTACATCTAATTTAATGAAATTACATCTAATTTAGTTAAATTTGATATGACTAATGATTCAAAAATTTTTGGATTCAGTTGCAATAAAATAGGTTCAATTATTTTAGCTTTTTTTTTAATATATGTAAATAATTTTGTAAACAAAACAAGAATAATGAAATAGGCATATGACAACAGCAATATTATACCCTCCATATGTCTTATTCAGGACCACACGATATTTGTTAGTAGTTACATCTCCTGTTATCTCTGTATAGTAAACAATTTGAAGAGGTGAAGTCTAGCATAGCTTTACCCCTGCTTACAATATAAATATATAAGAAAAAGATTAAAAACATTTAAAAAACATTAAAAAAGAATAGGTAATAGGTACCTATAGGTATATTAGTTTTTTTTTTATTATTTATTTATTTAAGAAGAAGAATAAACATTTTATAATACAAAATCAAATAAATTTACAATGAGAAATTATTCTTAAAATATGCACCTAGATGCAAAAACATCTGTATGTGCAATAGAAATAGATTAAAACTACATAAAATTAACAATACCTATTGGGATCTGAAGATAAGCGATACGCCCTCTACTGTGAACTAAAAGTTATGGCATTTGACACTTGACCGTCTGTGTTCTGTCAAGTTTTATTTATCAGGTCATGTCAATAAATGTTATTTTGAAATTGAACAAGTATTTTGTTTGAAATATCTTATTTAATAATAAGCTAATACTTTAAATTTTTATCATAAATATTAAAATATACATAGTTGGACTATAAGTGGAATATCAATGAAAAACACACTTGTGTGCCTCAATGCAGCCCTAAAACAAATGGACCGTTCTTTTTACATTTCGTCTGCTTCCTAAAATTGGTAAATGTAGGGTAATTTTTATAAAATGCAAGTGGAAATTCTGCAAGAAATGCATGGTTACAAAAGTTGAGAAGCCAGTATCAAAGTATTTGAAAGTTTGTTCCCATGCACAGCATTTTAAAGAAGATAATTATTTGCCTAGAGGTAATATAGATTTATTTTTCGATTGAATGTTTTTATTTTACCTTTTTTGCTCGCTTTTTTGTGTTGTAGATGCCTCATCCAAAGTGAAAATAAATATTAAAAAAAATCGCTTTGCCTTCCTACCAGTTTTTAAGTAAATGTTTGATGATTCTGTTCGATAAACCTCAAAATCAAATATTGATAGAACAAAAAGAAGATCCAAACTAAAAAAAGTTCAATCAGTGTTAAATGTGATAGTGAGAATAAACAAGTCATAGTTGAGAGTGAGCCTAGCTACTCACACCAAACAAGACATAGAGGTTGCAAATACTCTTTTTCAAGTGTTTTGACATTAGTGTACAAGTGCATACCCCAAAAATTAAAACAATTTCAGATCTTTTAAAATCTGACAAACAGTTCTGTTCATTCACTGGTATTAATAACTTTAACATACTGTACTAGAAAATACAGTGAAATCAGCTGAAGTACTTCAGAAGATGGCCTATTGGGTATTGTAACTGTAAAGAACGTTTATTGTTATGTAAACATTGGCATATTTTAACAGGAAAAATAAAAAAAATATTTGATTTTTTATATTTATTGCTTATAATAATAGCTTTTTTACCAACAGACTCAACTATTCCATTACAGAATAATATAAAAAATATACAAAAATACATTATCAATGTACAATCACTCATTACAAAATGTAACTGTACACAATGACTAGTAAACTTAAGAATAATAAAAATAATTATTAAAAAGAGTATTCTCTCAAGTACAAAATCAATCATAAATTTCAAGCTGTACATTTTCATTTAATGTCTTAAAGAAGAGATCATATGAGTTACTTATGTTATTAATATAATAATATAATTTATTCACATAATATCCAAACATTAAAAACATCAGTGCATTAAAGAGGTGAGAGTAAGAACACTTGCGAAGTGTCATACATTTGTAAAAGAATAAGTAACATGAATTAAATAATATATTATAAAAATATTAAGACTAAAAACTAGTACAAACTAGAAATTAAAATTATGACTAAGTAAATTTTATATCAAAAAACTAACAGACCAAAAAAAAATAGTACCTACTTGTGTTAATAGATGATTTTAAAAGGACAATTATTCTGTATCTGTTTTAAAACATCTTGTTAAATAAAATTATGGAACATTGAAGATTATCAAATAGTTTATGCAAACATAAAAGTAAAGCCATAAATATTCTGCTTCTCTACCAAAGACACATGTTTTTTTTAATAATCATAAAGTGATTTTAGATTTAAGTATTTGAAAATATGAAAGAATATCTTGTGTAGTGCCATTATTTATCGATTCTTCACAATAATCATTTGTAATTATATTTAATCTCAATAACTAAAACATATACTGAAAATTAGTTTGACAGAATTGTCACTCATTTAAAATTTAAGAAAAATAATGGTATCCTTGTGATCAAAAAATATGAACTGTGATTGGTGGATTTCATAACTGTACAGTGTTCTTCATAGAATGGATAAATATATTACTTCAATGGCCTACTTTTTCGTTCTGCAGTCAGTGCATAGAATAAATAACATAAATGAGGATGTAGAACAAAATCATAAGGTATTCAATCAAATTAGCTTGATAGTTCTTTGAAACAGTATACCTACACCTAAAACACTTTATTAAGACTTCTGAAATATGTTTGCACTGTCCACTGTTCCTAGCTTAAAACAAACATTACCATTCACCAATTTCTAACATCTTGTGAATGAGAACTGGCCTACAATAATATGGGGATCTGAATTCAATGTACTAGTTTGGAGAACAACTGCATAAACAGATATGTTTTTCACTAAATTCATTCTTTCCACAGGAAAACTAGTGGCCTACATTTAAAATATCATCTTCTTTAATAACATTCCTGGAATTTTCAACTAAACCAACATACTTCATAAGTTCTATTAAACAGCCTTATTTCAGATATCTCACTAAAAATAGAATAAATACATTCATATTTTATTAAAAGATAACACAAATATCTTAAATTAACATAAATGAATTAAAGTAACTCAAAAACAAAATTAATAGGGGGTACTTACCAAATAAAAATATACATTTTACTTTAACCTAAAAACTATTGAAATAAAAGTGTCTAATTACAAAAAATTAACAATATTCTTCCTTAAAATAGCACCAATATAAATTAAATACTTTTTATGGGTTGTTTGTTTACAAACTCAAAAATGTAAACAATAACAAGCCATAACAATTAGTTCAAATATCAAGTACAGACGACCCTGTGATCTTAATTTTAGATCCCAATAAACTAAACATTTGATGATTAAAAGGACATAAATATATAAGACTAGGTATTCATAACAAATTTGAGAGGTATAAATATTTATCAAATATAAATTTTCTGATCCCTTTAGAAAAGGTTTTTATTTGTCTGATATTTTCACTTAAAGAGTTGTATACTTTTAGCCCAATTGAAGAAATTAATCTTTTATTTCCATCATATTTAAAGAATGGTACATTATTTAGCATTCTTCTCTTTTGTTTTCGGGTCATATAAGAGTGGTTTACAAAAATTTTATTTTCCAGTTTGAAATAGAACATACAGCTAGAGTGAAAGTATACTGATCTTACGTTTGATTTATTATCTTTAAGATATAATATAGGGCATTGTCATATAAACCACCCTATACAATTATGCCATATCTAATTAAGGATTCAATGAGAGCAATATAAAGTGTAATAACTTTTTATTTAGAATGTTACGAATTAAATAAAATTTATATATGTTTTCTTATTTTGTTTGTTAAGTACTGAACATGATCAGTCCATTTAAGATTTTTGTCAACTATTATTCCCAAATATTTGGCATTTTCCACTTCTTTGATGATTAATTTGGATTCTTCAAACCAAAGCGCCAGCGGTAATCAATCCATGGCTGGGCTGTGAATCCATGGCTGGGCCGCGAATCCATGGCTGGGCCGTGAAGAATTAAAAAATTGTAAACAAACTATCGTATGTATCTAAAATACAAAAAATTATTTACCCTCAAAAGAAGCCTATATATTAAACACTTTAAAAAATCTTTACTGGCTTAAAATGCAAGTAAATTAATTTTTTTATATACAAATTAGACCGGCGTGACAACAGCCACGAGTTCCAGCCATGAGTTTGACGGCGGGAACCAAAGCGCCAGCGGTAATCAATCCATGGCTGGGCCGTGAATCCATGGCTGAGCCGTGAATCCATGGCTGGGCCGCGAATCCATGGCTGGGCCGTGAAGAATTAATTTATTGTAAACAAACTATGATAAATCGTATGTATCTAAATTACAAAAAATTATTTATCCTCAAAACAAGCCTTTATATTAAACACTTAAAAAATCTTTGCTGGCTTAAAATACAAGTAAATAAATTTTTTATGTACAAATTAGCTTGTATTTATGTCTTCTATTTGATGTATATGTCAGAATATTTTTCCGGGTAGGAAATCACCCTCACATCCAGCACTTATATTAAACACTTAAAAAATCTTAGCCTTCTTAAATTGGAATAAAAAGAAACTTTTTTTATATAAATTTGATAATATTTACGTACTTAACCTAACGTATATCTCAAAATATTTTGCCGGGCTGTAAATCACCCTCAAATCAACCCCTTATATTATATATTAACAAAATCTTTACTGGCTTAAAATGCAAGTAAATTAATTTTTTTATAAACAAATTAGCATGTATTTATGTCTTCTATTTGATGTGTATGTCAGAATATTTTGCCGGGCAGCAAATCACCCTCAAATCCAGCCCTTATATTAAACACTTAAAAAATCTTAGCCTTCTTAAATTGGAATAAAATAAAACTTTTTTTATATAAATTTGATAATATATATGTACTCAATCTAATGCATATCTCAAAATATTTTGCCGGGCTGTAAATCACCCTCGAATCAACCCCTTATATATTAAAAAAATATTTACTGACTTAAAATTCAACTAAATAATTTTTTTTTAAACAAATTAGCTTGTATTTACGTCTTCTATTTGATGTATGCCTCAGAATATTTTGCCGGGCAGGAAATCACACTCAAATCCAGCCCTTGTATTAAACATTTAAAAAATCTTAGCCTTTTTAAATTGGAATAAAATGAAACTTTTTTTTATATAAATTTGATAATATTTACGTACTCAACCTAACGTATATCTCAAAATATTTTGCCGGGCTGTAAATCACCCTCAAATCAACCCCTTATATTATATATTAAAAAAATCTTTACTGGCTTACAATGCAAGTAAATTAATTTTTTTATAAACAAATTAGCTTGTATTTATGTCTTCTATTTGATGTGTATGTCAGAATATTTTGCCGGGCAGCAAATCACTCTCAAATCCAGCCCTTATATTAAACACTTAAAAAATCTTAGCCTTCTTAAATTGGAATAAAATAAAACTTTTTTTATATAAATTTGATAATATTTATGTACTCAATCTAATGCATATCTCAAAATATTTTGCCGCGCTGTAAATCACCCTCAAATCAGCCCCTTATATTAAACATTAAAAAAATATTTACTGGCTTAAAATACATGTAAATATTTTTTTAAACAAATTAGCTTATATTTGTGTATTCTATTTGATGGATATCTTAGAATATTTTTCCGGGCTGGAAATCACCCTCAAATCAACCCCTTTTCACTTTAGCACCCTGTATAATGAACATTATTGGGGCGTTTACAACAAAATTATATTTAGCTTGTCTTAATAATTAGTTAAGATCTATCTACAAATCCCCCTTTTTACGGTAATTTATTCTGAAACACCCTGTATATAGTATGATATTTTTCCAGTGAGCAGATCACCCACACAAATTAGATATTTAATATTCAGTTCTTACTTGGCGATTGTTTGGGTATTATATCATTTTCAAAATAAACAAATAAATAGTTTTTAACAGAAATAAGACTATGGGGTCTATTCTGTAAAAATTCCTTTATATTTAACAGCCTTTAAAAATATTTTCTTCTTTAATTTGGTCACTATTTAAACGGATCTTTAAAATACATTAGAGGACTATCTTAAAGAAATCTGTTTAAATAATGATAGAAGTAAATTAACGAATACGAACATATTTTTATAGGCCGCCAATATTTTTAAAGGCCGTTAAATATAAAGGAATTGTTACAGAATAGACCCAAATACTAGCAAATAAAATATTTTGAGATATATTTAATTTATATAAAAAAAGTTTCATTTTATTCCAATTTAAGCAGGCAACGATATTTTAAGTGTTTAATATAAGGGCTGGATTTGAGGGTGATTTCCTGCCCTGCAAAATATTCTGACATATACATTTAATAGAATACATAAATATAAGCTAATTTGTTTATAAAAATTTATTTACTTGCATTTTAAGCTAGTAAAGATTTTTTAAATGTTTAATATAAGGGGTTGGTTTGAGGGTGATTTACAGCCCGGCAAAATATTTTAAGATATACATTAGGTTAAGCACATAAATATTATCAAATTTATATTTGTTTACAATAAAAATAATTCTTCACGGCCCAGCCATGGATTCACAGCCCAGCCATGGATTGATTACGGCTGGTGCCGTCAAACTCATGGCTGGAACTCCTGGCTGTTGTCACGCCGCGGTTGAATACCATACCTGCATATGGAGAAAAGTGACTACCTTTGATCCTTGAATGATTTGGAATTTATTTTCATTTTTAATTGTTTTAATTGTCCAATAACTTTTCTTTAATTTTAAACTTTTTTGTATTTTGTAATTTATTGATAGGTCTTTTTTTTGTAATTTTTTTTCTAAGGCAAATAAAGATGATTATTATTATTATTATTCTTATAAAAATTCAGAAATCGATTAAAAAAATATGGGATCTGTTTTAAATTGGTTTCAGTCTTAACTGACAGATATTAAGCTGTCTCTTATAACAGTCATCGCTCCAGTCAAGCTAAAATACCATCCAGTGTTCCGCAATGTGTCAGTACTAGGCCCTATTTTATTTTTACTTTATTTCAATGTCTTAGTGTTAACATAAATTGATTTTTCACTATTTTTGGGGATGCTACTACTATTCTATAGACTCATGAGAAGAACACAGTTTTGGAAGCTTCTATTGTTTATTTAAGGTAGTTCACTCGCGACAGTCGTACATAAAAATATCGCGTAATGGTGAATACCAAAAGTTCGAGATTCTCAATGCTAATCAATTTTATTTTTGTAAGAGACTGTACAAAACACATGTATATAAACACATATGGACAAGTTATAATTTTATTCAATTTCATCCGGCAAACTCGCAAATATTTAAACGATATGGTATAGAAATTTGTGACTTCCTCATACTAATTTTAAGGGTTTGTTTTGGTTCAAACAGAACCGCTGATTCCAGTTCTCAAACACAGTGGACGAATTAATTTTTCAAGAACACGTCGCGAGTTTATAACAACCTCTTAACTGATCGAGTGTTACTTTGATACGTGAAGTGGCTACAATGTTGCCAAATTGTAATAATTTTACGAAACTACTCGTCAACTGCTTTAAAAATATTTTTATTTTAAAAATCTATATCTTTTTATTAAGATAGTCAAAAAATTCAGCGATTATCTATAAAATTTGATAACTTCTTGATTTATTTAACATTATTTTTAAAAAAATATGGTAAGAACCGTTTTTGAGATATCTTGAAATAAATACATTGCTTGTGTATATGATAGGCTTCAAGAGTGTTAATTATGCACATTTTGATTGTTAATATCTCGTTTCACAGATGGTCAAAAAATTTAATTTTTTTTAGTTACGTAAACGACACTTTCATAAACCTTATATTTAAATTTTATTGAATTCTTAAGAAAAGCCGTTTTACGAGTGAACTACCTTAAGTAAAAAAAAATGTGTTACCACTTACTCTTGGAATTTAGACAAACAAATTCTATAAAGAAGTTGCCTAAACTTATCAACAAGAAAGTATTGTTTTCAAAATCCTATTATACAGTAGAGGAATTTCTTCTGGGTGGTTTTATATGATGAGTCTCAATTAGTTGTATTTGTATTGACTTTTATTTTAAATGAGATGACTTTGTAAACAATATTTTTATATCTTATACAATAAAGTATTTTTTGATTTGTTTCTGTTCTATTTAACACATTAGGAAAACTATTTTTTGCTTCCTTTCAGGCGAACTCAAGTATTTCGTGGTCGGCGCTGGAGCCATCGGCTGCGAATTATTGAAAAACTTCGCTATGGTCGGTCTGGGTTCTAGAGGCGGTCAAATAACTGTCACCGATATGGATCTGATTGAAAAATCTAATCTGAACAGACAATTTTTGTTTAGACCCAGCAACGTACAGCAACCCAAGTCGGCCACTGCTGCTAAGGTAATTTTAAACATATTCAAAAATATTTTAAATATGTATATCGCCAGTAAAAGTGCAAAACCTTGTATGTGCTATTTTTGACAAAAATTGTTTTATTGTCTTGAAATAGTACATGTCTGCGTATGTATATACAAAGTCTTGTATTAATCAATATTGTCGATCTTCTTATTTTAGTGATATGCAACTATTTAATAAAAATCAAAAAGTGAAAGTTTTTCTATTTCGTCTAAAATTATGTGAGATACATATATGAGGTTTTGTACTTTCATTGACGATATAGTAATTTGTATTAATTTTATTAGAAAGGTGGTACACTTTCATCGAATTTACCCCAAATCTAGGGAAATTTGTAGAGTATATCTGGCAACGCTTCACCCCCTGAAACCATAGTGACCAATTTTATGACAAGCAATATACAGGGTGTCCTTTAAAATGTGTCCCAAAATTCTCAGGCAGATTCCTTAACCAAAAAATGGAAAAAAAGTTCCTATAGACCTATGTCCTAAAGTGCCCCCTAAGCGAGCAACAGCCTCTCGAAATCATTTTTTTTATTTTGATTTTTTGAATTTTCTTAAAAATGGAAACAAATAAAAGAACCAAATTTTGGCTGTTAAATATGATCAATAATAGTGACCTTTTGACACCTTCAAAAAGAAATTATTTCGTCAGGGGTGTACTTGGGAATTTTTTGAAAATTTTGATTATTCATAACTTTTTTGTGTTTTTGGTAATGACTTACCCATTTTTTTTTTTCAATCTACATTGAAAACTACGTCAAAAAGGAATACTTGTTTGATCTCGATTGGAGCAGCCGTTTCCGAGAAAACATCATCCAAAGATATTCGTCCACTTTAGCTTAATTTTCAATTTTCCTAAATTACCTCGGTGAATCTCGTAAATAAAAATAACTTTTTTAGCTCTCTCTAAATAATTGTAGTTCAAATGTCGTGGTGGGACTATTTTTATTTAATAAAAAGAAACGGTTTAAAAAAATATTTATTCTAAAAAAACAAATCAAAAAAAATTAAAGCAGATGCTCAATGTGGCGACCATTGGTTTCCACACACAAGCGCAACCGTCGCATCATAGACTGTCTTACACGAAAAAATACTTCAGGATTATTCCTAAGAACTTCGCAATGATGAAAAACTCGTTCTTCCAATTCTTCAACTGTTTCAACAGGACTGGAATAAACCAATGATTTTAAATAACCCCAAACAAAAAAATCCATTGGATTTAGATCTGGTGAACGAGGTGGCCAGTTAACAGGACAACCTCTGCCAATTACTCTACCCTCAAATCTTTCGTTAAGGTGCTGTCTAGCTTCAAGGCTGTAATGTGGTGGAGCTCCATCATGCATAAACCACATGTTATGTCTGATTTGAATCGGAATATTATCAAGAAGCTCATGTAAGTTATTTTCCAAAAAAAGCCTGTATGCTGCTCCATTTAACCTATTCGGCAAAACAAATGGTCCAATAAGGTAATTATCAATAACTCCAGCCCAGACGTTTATTGAAAATTTATCCTGGTGGTGACGTTCAACAACCGCGTGAGGGTTATCTTCAGCCCATTCATGCATATTTCGAAAATTTATTATACCATCTCTAGTGAAACCAGCTTCATCGGTAAATAGCACTTTATTAAGAAACATTGCATCTTGATTACATCTTCCAAGAAACCATTCAGAAAAGATAACTCGCGGCTCATAATCAGTAGCTTTAAGTGCCTGAACTTTTTGAATGTGGTAAGGGTACAATTGTTGTTCACGCAAAACTTTCCATACCGTGTTACGTCCGACTCCCACTTCTGAAATTAAATGAGAGAATCTGTGTAGTGAATAGTTAAGAAAGAGAATCCATTGATTTGGGAAATCAGATTTTTTCTGCATAACGCAACTCTTTTCGATACGAAAAGTCGTGAAATGTAAGAGAAGCAATAACAAGTAAAAAAACTAGTTTTATACGATAAGGTACGGGGTAGCTAAAATAATAAATAAGTAATTACTTACCATTTGCTATTTTTCTGGTACTTGTCGATGGGGTTTCAGCTACCCTATCCAAAATTGCTTCTTCCAAAGCAGGAGTTCTCACATAATTTTGTCTTCCACTGTTACTAGAGTTTTTCTTAAATGTACCAGTTTCCCGAAGTCTATCGTCAATTCTAGAAAACGTCTTAGCGCATGGAAGATGCCTATTTGGAAAGCGCTCCTGATAAAGTCTGCGAGCTTCATTGGCATTTCCAGAAGCGAGTCCAAAACATAAGTGCATGTCCGTCATTTCGCCGAATGTGTAATCATTATTGTAGTTATTGTGAGCCATTTTAAACAAAATAATAACAATACAACGAATCGCACCAGAACACTTTTAGAAATAATGTTTAACTGAAGAAACATTTTTATCAGTGAGCGAAAAAAATTATCCATGAAACACAAAAACGCCAAAAAAATACATATTTTTACTTTTTTATTCTAAACAGCTAAATACAAACCTTATGGTCTTCATAATAAATAAATGGGAACTAAATTTTTAAATTTTATTTAGAGAGCTAAAAATAGTATACAGGGTGATTGATTAGTGTGAGGAAGCTCTGTAGATCTGTTATAATAAAAGTAGGCAGCTTTAAGCTTCACATTTTAAAATTAGTTACGATGTGACAGGGTGTTTCATAAGGCCGTGCCAAATCAAAGTTATGTTTTTTAAATGGAACACCCTGTATATTTTTATATTTTTAGAATCTGCTCGATAATCTGATTTCAATGATACATCACACTTGTTATCTAATATGAATAGTAAAGGATCTACAGCTACTCAAAAATCACATTTTTTCAAATTCAGGTGGCTGTTGTAGCCAAACAGTTGGAAATCGAGGAAAACGGCTTACAGTCCCTATCCTAACTTTTTAAGGTCTATTCAGTGACATAAAATACATATTATTTGATACAGGGTGATCAAAAATCCAAAATCACATCCGATTTTTGATCACCCTGTATCAACTAATATTTTTTGCCACTGAATAGACCTTCAAAAGTAAGGATAGGGACATGTAAGCCGTGTTCCTCGATTTCCAACTTTTTGGCTACAACAGCCAAAATTGAAAATTAACCTAAACTGCACGAATATCTTTGGATGATGTTTTCTCGGAAACGGCTGCTCCAATCGAGATCAAACAAGTATTCCTTTTTGACGTAGTTTTCAATGTAGAATGTAAAAAAAATATGGATAAGTCATTACCAAAAACACAAAAAAGTTATGAATAATCAAAATTTTCAAAAAATTCCCAAGTACACCCCTGACGAAATAATTTCTTTTTGAAGGTGTCAAAAGGTCACTATTATTGATCATATTTAACAGCCAAAATTTGGTTCTTTTATTTGTTTCCATTTTTAAGAAAATTCAAAAAATCAAAATAAAAAAAATGATTTCGAGAGGCTGTTGCTCGCTTAGGGGGCACTTTAGGACATAGGTCTATAGGAACTTTTTTTCCATTTTTTGGTTAAGGAATCTGCCTGAGAATTTTGGGACACATTTTAAAGGACACCCTGTATATTCTTTGACTTGTTCTGGAACCATCCAAAACATTAGTATGTATTGTAAATAAACTCAACCATATGTACAGTTATGCTTATTACTGGTTGCATAATGGTAGATTGGGAAATGCATAACCACCACTACAATGGCTCAGGTGCAATAGCCAATTAGGTATAATTATTTAAATAGTGCGCGTAATCAGGTAAGAGGGAACTTCCTTTTGTTGGTGAGAGCCGGAAGTTAGAATAAAAGGGTCAAATTAATAATTATTGCAATGTAATCGTTCCGGGTGAGTGGACGTCCATGTCCATGCCACTCATCTTCTAATTTAGTTCAGTTTCCTCAATTTACTGCCTCATCCAACTCTAAGTGTTAAAATATATTGTTAAAATTGTTGTTAATTGTGATATACAACTGAAAGGTAGTTTATTGTGAAAATAAATACAGTTAAAAGTAAAGTTGCAAATTGATTTGACTAAAACGTCCTCCCCTGACGAGAGTGTTGGAGTTGATTGGAGAAATCAACAAGAAGGACCCAACACGACTTTTTGTGTCAACAATACAAATTTCTCAAAATTACATTAATACTTTTTTATATGCTAGTAATTTATTTTTTTACAAAATAACAAACTCACTACGACTGATAATTTCTCAGAAACCTATTATTAAATGGCAAAGCCGTTTCTGTAGCGATCGATAGATCTCTTATACAGATAACAGCGAAGTTATGTTCCTGTACAGCCTATAAAAAATTATTGATTGCTGCAGAAGTGGCGTTTTCATTTAATGACAAGTTTCTGACAAATTATCAGTTGTACTTACCATTAATTCATGCAGTGCAGTGTTGCCAGTATATTCTACACATTTCACTAGATATGGGGAAAAATAGATGTAAGTGGCTTACTATCTACTTGAATTTGGTAGTAAAAATAAATAGTAATGAAAGAAAAAATGTCCCCCTTTCTTTCAAAAAGCATATATACTTAGTATTATTAATCTAGGTAATAAAAAAAATGAACCCAGAAGTCAACATCATAGCTCACGAGAACCGGGTGGGCCCCGAAACAGAAAACGTCTACAATGACGACTTTTTCGAGGCTCTAGACGGCGTAGCCAACGCTTTAGACAACGTCGACGCCAGAATATACATGGACAGACGGTGCGTCTACTACCGCAAACCCCTACTGGAATCCGGTACGTTAGGCACCAAAGGTAACACGCAGGTCGTGGTACCGTTCCTCTCCGAGTCTTACAGCTCATCCCAAGATCCCCCAGAGAAGAGCATTCCGATATGTACCCTGAAGAACTTCCCCAACGCTATAGAACACACTCTACAATGGGCCAGAGACAATTTCGAAGGTTTGTTCAAGCAGAACGCCGAAAACGCTTCGCAATATCTCACCGATCCGGATTTCATCGATAGAACCCTCAAATTACCCGGCGTCCAACCGCTGGAAGTATTGGAATCCGTCAAAGCGGCTCTGGTCGACGAAAGACCGAAAGATTTCGACGATTGCCTGGCCTGGGCTCGATTGCACTGGGAAGAACAGTACGCCAATCAGATCAAACAGTTGCTGTTCAATTTCCCGCCGGATCAGTTGACCAGCACCGGCCAACTGTTCTGGTCGGGGCCAAAGAGATGTCCAGAGCCGTTGGAGTTCGACGTCTGCACTGATTTGCATTTGGATTACGTCTTGGCGACGGCTAATTTGAAGGCGCAAGTTTACGGAATTCCCACCAGTAGGGATAGATGTCACGCCAAGCATGTGCTCAGCAAAGTTGATGTAAGTGGTTTTTTATTTATATGTTTCAGTTGTCGTACGTCAGTAGTTGTTAATTTCTGTAAGCGTTGTGGCTTATCAATGACTATATACTAGAAAAGGATAGCCAAGTTCATCACAACTGCAAAAAATGCTCGTAAAAAATTAAGTATTTTTAATTCTTATACTATTTTTTTAATTTATGTATGTTTTCATACATAGTACTACAAATAAAATATTTATTAGTGTATATCAAGTACATTTTATTTGTTATTAAAAAAAACTTTGTTTTCATATTTTATAATTTACAACATAATTTCTTCGATTGACTGGACTAAAATATATATAGTCCAGTAAATTGGGAGCATTTTATTTATTAATAAACATGTTTTCTTTTTTCATGTAATAATAAAATTTCTTAAATTATCTGGACTATATAATAAATATACCCTGGTAATTGTTATATAAAAAAAAAAAAAAACGTTTTCATATTTTATAATATACAATAAAATTTCTTCGATTGACTAGACTATAAAATACATAAATATAGTCCGGTAAATGGGTAGCATTCTATTTATATTCTAAAACACCTGTTTTTTGTTTTCATATAATAAAATTCTGAGATTGACTGGACTAAAAATAATAGTCTGGTAAATCGGGTACATTTTGTTATAAAAAACTACGTTTTTTGTTTTTATTTAATATAAAAAAGAACTCTTCGTTAAATTGGACTATAGAATAAATATAGCCCGGTAAATAAGAAATATTTTATTATTAAATAAATATAGTCCGCTAAAGCGGGAGCATTTTATTGATTATTTAATGGAGTTGGTTTTTGTTTTTATATAATAACAAAATATCTTGGATTTTTTTAAACTATAAAATAAATATAATCTGGCAAATCAAGTACATTTTGTTTATTATAAAATAATACATTTTTCGTTTTTATTTAATATAGAAAAAATCACTTCGTCAAACTAGACAATAGAATAAATTAGCCCGGTAAATCAGGAACATTTTATTATTAAAAAAAAATCCGTTTTCATATTTTATGATATACAATAAAATTTATTCGATTGACTAGACTATAAAATACATAAATATAGTCCGGTAAATCGGTAGCATTCTATTTATTATATAAAAAACATGTTTTTTGTTTTCATATAATATAAGATCCCTTCATAAAACGTGACTATAAGATAAATATAGTCTGGTAAATTAGGAACATTTCATTTGTTATTAAAAAACCGCTATTCGTTTTCATATTTTATATTATGCAATTAAATTTCTTTGATTGACTGGATTATAAAATAATAGTCTGGTAAATAAAAAATATTTTGTTATAATTAAAATACTTTTTTGTTTTCATTTAATATAAAGACGAACTCTTCGTTAAACTGGACTAAAGAATAAATATAGTCTGGTAAATCAGGAACATTTTATTGGTTATTAAAAAAACTTTGTTTTCATATTTTATTTTATTCTACAAAATGTGTTCCATTGACTGGACTATAAAATAAATAAATATAGTTCGCTTAAGCGGGAGTATTTTATTGATTATTTAATGAAGATGGTTTTTGTTTTTATATAATAACAAAATGTCTTGGATTGTTTGGACTATAAAATAAATATAATCTGGTAAATCGGGTCCATTTTGTTTATTATAAATACATTTTTCGTTTTTATTTAATATAGGAAAGATCACTTCGTCAAACTGTACAATAGAATAAATATAGCCCGGTAAATCAGGAACAATTTATTAATAAAAAAATCCGTTTTCATATTTTATAATATACAATAAAATTTCTTCGATTGACTAGACTATAAAATATATAAATATAGTTCGGTAAAAAACATTTTTTTTTTGTTTTCATATAACAAAATAAGATCCCTTCGTAAAACGTGACTATAAAATAAATATAGCCTGGTAAATTAGGAACATTTCATTTGTTATTAAAAAACGCTATTCGTTTTCATATTTTATATTATGCAATTAAATTTCTTAGATTAACTGGATTATAAAATAAATATAGTTCAGTAAATCGGGATCATTCTATTCATTCAATAAACCAGTTTTTTGTTCATATAATAACAAAATTATTAGATTGACTGGACTATAAAATAATTGTTTGGTGTAAACAAATACCTTTTTTGTTTTTATTTAATATAAAAAGAACTCTTCGTTAAACTGGAGTATAGAATAAATATAGCCTGGTAAATCAGAAATATTTTATTGGTTATTAAAAAAAACTTCGTTTTCATATTTCATGTTATACTACAAAATGTTTTCCATTGACTGGACTATAAAATAAATAGATGTAGTTCGCTAAAGCGGGAGCATTTTATTGATTATTTAATGAAGATGGTTTGTGTTTTTATATAATAACAAAATGTCTTGGATTTTTTGGACTATAAAATAATACGTTTTTCGTTTTTATTTAATATAGAAAAGATCACTTCGTCAAACTGAACAATAGAAAAAATATAGCCCGGTAAATCAGGAACTATTTATTTAAAAAAATCCGTTTTCATATTTTATAATATACAATAAAATTTCTTCGATTGACTAGACTATAAAATACATATAGTCCAGTAAATCGGTAGCATTCTATTTATTATATAAAAAAATGTTTTTGTTTTCTTATAATAACAAAATTAGATCTCTTCGTAAAAAGTGACTATAAAATAAATATAGCCTGGTAAATTAGGAACATTTCATTTGTTATTAAAAAAACCACTATTTGTTTTCATATTTTATATTATGCAATTAAATTTCTTAGATTGACTGGATTATAAAATAAATATGGTTCAGTAAATCAGGAGCATTTTATTTATTATATTATAATAAATCTTTCTTTTGTTTTCATATAATAACAAAATTCATAGATTTACTGGACTATAAAATAATAATCTGGTAAATGGGGTATATTTTGTTATAAAAAAAAATACGTTTTTCGTTTTTATTTAATATTAAAAAGAACTTTTCGTTAAACTGGACTATAGAATAAATATAGCCTGGTAAATCAGAAACATTTTATTGGTTATTAAAAAAATATCGTTTTCATATTTTATGTTATACTACAAAATGATTTCTATTGACTGGACTATAAAATAAATATAGTCCGCTAAAACGGGAGCATTTTATTGATTATTTAATGAAGATGGTTTTTGTTTTTATATAATAAAATGTCTTGTTTGTACTATAATAATATAAATATAATCTGGTAAATCGGGTACATTTTGTTTATTATAAAATAATACGTTTTTCGTTTTTATTTAATATAGATAGAAAAGATCGTCAAACTGGACTATAGAATAAATATAGCCCGGTAAATCAGGAACATTTTTTTTTGTTATTAAAAAAAAAAAAAAAAAAAACGCTTTTCGTTTCCATCTTTTTTATTACATCACAAAATTTCTTCGATTTTAGCAAGATATTCTGTAGTCATCTGTGTTTTCTGGTAATTTTTATTCAAATATTCCAGAAAAAATTAGTAGGAAAAATGTCCAAATACTGATCACAAAAATAAATTTAAAATCAATTTTTTTTTTATATTATTCACTTAAAAATTTATATAGACAAAAATATTAATAATTTGATGTTTTTACAAGTTCATTCACTCTAAAAACATAAATAACCTCTAAATTCCCTAAAAACTTAAAAAGAAACAGTGTAAACACATATACTTTCAATAGTGACAGCCCAAATAACCACACGTTAATTATTAAGGTTTGAGATTTCTTATGAAACTAATTTATCCCCTAGTATATAGTCATTGGTGTTTGATGTGTTGGTTGTCGTCTGTCACATAACTGTGTCAGTTGTCTGAGTTGTCGTTTTTCAAAGCATTAATGACACATGACGTTCTTTAGCAGTACAGTAAACATATAAACGATTTTACGTAATAAATTATTTAACAGGTGCCGAAGTTCGTGCCGAAATCGGGCGTCAAGATCGCCGTGACCGATTCACAGATGGCCATGAACGGCAACAACGTTGATCTAGATCGCGTGACTCAAATAAGAGAGGAGCTGCCCTCGGTTGCGGAGTTGAGCGGATTGCGTCTGACGCCTCTCGAGTTCGAGAAGGACGACGATTCCAATTTCCACATGGATTTTATAGTGGCCGCGTCCAACTTGAGAGCCGCCAATTACAAGATACCCGCCGCCGATAGGCACAAGTCGAAGTTGATCGCTGGTAAGTTCAAATTATTTGTTAAATAATATTCTAATATATAAAAATATATAAAAATATATAAAAATATATAAAAATATATAAAAATATATAAAAATATATAAAAATATATAAAAATATATAAAAATATATAAAAATATATAAAAATATATAAAAATATATAAAAATATATAAAAATATATAAAAATATATAAAAATATATAAAAATATATAAAAATATATAAAAATATATAAAAATACATAAAAATATATAAAAAATATATAAAAATAAACTAAAAATAGTTAAAAATCTTCAAGTTACGTCAAAATCAATCAGACTCATAAACTTTAATGGACGTTTTTGCAACCGGCTGTTAAGATGTATAATTTTTTAACTTGTAACAATCTTCTGATGTGAATTCCAGGCAAGATAATTCCGGCCATAGCGACCACCACGTCCGTCGTAGCCGGTCTGGTGTGCCTCGAGTTATATAAGTTGGCCAGAAGCACTAAGAGCTTGACGCCGTTCAAGAATGGCTTCGTAAACTTGGCGTTGCCGTTCTTCGGTTTCTCGGAGCCGATCGCCGCGTCTAAGATGGACTATTGCGGCAATCAGTGGACGCTGTGGGATAGATTCGAGGTACAGGGCGAGATGACGTTGAGCGAGTTCTTGGAGTATTTCAAGGAGAAGCACGGTTTGGAGATTACGATGCTGTCGCAAGGCGTGTGCATGCTGTACTCATTTTTCATGGCCAAAGCCAAGGCTCAAGAACGGTGAGCGATCTCTTTCTTTTTTGTATTTATTTTTGTCTTCGATTGATTGGATTATATAAATGAATATAGTCCAGTAAATCGGTAATATTTTATTTAATGTAAAAAATACGTTTTTCGTTTTTATTTAATATAAAAATAGTCTTCATTGACTGGATTATTAAATAAATATAGCCTGGTAAGTCGGCATATTTTATTGATCTTTATTACAAAAAAGTTTCTGGTTTTCGTATATTATACAAGAAAATTTGTTTGATTGACTGTACTGTAAAAAATATAGCCTGGAAAATAGGGAAAATTGTATATATAAAAAACACGATTTTTTTCATGTGGAATAAAAAGACTAGAGTTGAATGGATTAATTATAAAATACATATAGTCCGGCAAACCGATAATTTTTTTTATTATAAAAAAATATGTTTTTTGTTCTCTTATAATATTATACATCAGTATTTCTTAGATTGTCTGTACCATTAAAATATTAAATCTGAATAAAAACATTTTTGTTTTCATATATTATAAGAAATCTTCTTTGATTGACTAGACTATAAAATATATATTTATTTCGGTAAATCGGGAACATTTTATTTATTAAAGAAACACGTTTTTCGTTTTAATATAAAACAAAATACCTCTTCAGTCGACTGGACTATAAAATAAATGTAGTTCGTTAAATTTGCACATTTTATTGATCTTTATTACAAAAAAGTTTCTAGTTTTCGTATAATATACAAAATTTGTTTGATTGACTGGACTGTAAAAAATATAGTCTGGAAAATAGGGAACATTTTATATATAAAAAAACATGATTTTTGCGTTTTCATAAGGAATAAAAAGTCTAAAGTTGAATGGACTAACTATAAAATACATATAGTCCGGTAAATCTATAACTTTTTTTGTAATAAAAAAATGTTTTTCGTTTTTATTGATACTGTACAGGAAAAACTCTTCGATTGACTGGACTATAACAAAAGTAAATAATAGTCCTATGAATCGGGAACATTTTATTGTAAAAAACGTTTTTCTTTTTGATTTAATATAAAAAAAATGTTTCCTGGACTATTAATAAAATAAATATAGTCCGGTAAATCGGCGAAATTTTATGCATTATTTTAAAATACGTTATTTTTTGTTTTCATAAATGCAAATATATTCGATTGACTGGATTAAACATAAACATAAATAGTTCGGTAAATCGGTAACATTTTGTTAATTAATAATCTCATTGTTGATTGCTGTATAAATTAAATATAGTCCGGTAAATTAGGAATCTTTTTATATTAAAAAAAGTTCTTTCACGGACTATACTATATAATAAATAAATATAGCCCAGTAATACGAAACATTTAATATCTTATTTAAATAAAAGCAGTTGTTGGTTTTATATGCATAATATACAGCAAAATTTCTTCAATTATTATTTAAATTTCAAAATAGATAATTATAGTCTGGTTATTAACAATATTTGATTTATTTCGATTGCCTGGACCATAAAATAAATATAGTCCGGTAAATCAGGAACATTTAGTTTACTATTTTTTTTTTCTTTATTTAATATAAAAAAAAATTCATTTCCTGAACTATTAATAAAATAATTATAGTCCGGTAAATCGGGAAAATTTTATGCATTATTTTAAGAGACGATTTTTTTTGTTTTCATACTATATAATATACATGAAAATATATTCGATTGACTGGATTAAACATGTTTATTCGTTTTGGCATAAAATAAAAAAGAAATCTCGGGTTGATTTGAATCCAGTCAATAATATTATCTCTTCTTAATTATATATATTTTTCGTTATTTTAAAAACACATTTTTTTCGTTTTATTATTGAAAATTTACTGGACTATAAAATAAATATAGTTCGGTAAATCGTAACATTTTGTTAATTATTAAAAACCAAGTATATCTCTTTGTTGATTGGGGTGTAAATTAAATATAGTTCTTTCACAAACTGGACTATATAATAAATAAATGTAGCCCAGTAAAACGAAACATTTAATTTTTTATTAAAAAAAAAAAACATTTTTTGGTTTTTTATGTATAATTAATTATACAACAAAATTTCTTCAATTATTGTTTAAATTATAAAATAGATAATTATAGTGTGGTTATTAAGAATATTTGATTTATTTCGATTGCCTGGACCATAAAATAAATATAGTCCGGTAAATCGGATTAATTTTATGCATTATTTTAACAGATATTTTTTTTTGTTTTTTATGTATAATTACAACAAAATTTCTTCAATTATTGTTTAAATTATAAAATAGATAATTATAGTCTGGTTATTAAGAATATTTGATTTATTTCGATTGCCTGGACCATAAAATAAATATAGTCCGGTAAATCTGATAAATTTTATGCATTATTTTAACAGATATTTTTTTCATACTATAATATACATACAAATATATTCGATTGACTGGATTAAACATGTTTATTCGTTTTGGAATAAAATAAAAAGAAATCTCAGGTTGATTTGAATCTAATCAATAATATCTCTTCTTGATTATATTTTTTATTAGTTATTTTAAAAACACGATTTTTTTTTGTTTTCTTATAATTCTTGAAAATTGACTGGACTATAAAGAAATATAGTTCAGTAAATCGCGAACATTTTGTTTATTATTAAAAAGTACGTTGTTCGTTTTAATTTCATGTAGAAAAGATCTCTTTGGAGTATGAATTAAATATAATCCGGTAAATTAGGAACCTTTTTTATTATTTAAAAAAGAACACGTTTTTCGTTTTCATAATATATTTCTTCGATTTTCTGGATTATAAAATAAATCTAGTCCAGTAAATCAACACCAATTTAATAAAATGTATCTTTTTATTTTTGATTTTATATAAAAAAAATCTTCGTTTTCTGAACATTAATATAGTCCAGTAAATAGTTGACATTTTATTTATTGTGTTAAAAAACACGTTTCTTTCGTTTTGGCATAAAATAGAAAGATATCTGAGGTTGATTTGAATCTAGTCGCAAAAAGAATGTTCCAGTAAACTTATGTTTTTTCTCTTCCTCGTCTGTTTGAATTATTATAGTGCGGTCAAATTAAGTACGAATTTTATGTATAATATGGTAAATCATTCGAATTTTTAGAAACGTTTTATCTTCGTTTCCAGGTTAGGCCTCACGATGTCCGAAGTGGTCAGAAGGGTGTCCAAAAAGAAGATCGAACCGCACGTCAAAGCGCTCGTATTCGAGTTGTGCTGTAACGACGCCGACGGCGAAGACGTCGAAGTTCCTTACGTGAAATACAACTTGTGTTGAGCGCATAACCATCCAGTTCAGTCACTCAACCAACCACACGAACATTTGGAAGTTGTTGCGCTGAGAGGTCGGCGTCCCATTTCAGAAAAATCGGATCGTTTTAATCGATTATTGAATCGATTCGAATCGGTCGCGGGAGGTTTTTTATTCGATTTTAAAAGTTGGCATCAGTGTATTTGGAGGGAATTTAGTTTGTTTTCAATTCTATTATCGCAAAAAATGAAGTGTTTTTGACAGTTTTTTTTTTTATTCTCGATTGGTGTGTGAATTCTTTCTTGATGTCAAATTATGGTTTTTTTATGTTTAAAAATGCGAAAAAAATAGGTAAATAACTTTTTAAAAAATTAATTACAATTTTAATTATGATCTATTTATCAAAAATAAAAAAGTATTATTTTTATATTTTTTATGTACCTAGCGAGAAAAAATGTGGGCGCTGACCTTTCAGAACTGGACTAGAGATTTTTGCACGACTGGGACAATGTGATCTATTTAAATTATTAATTATATCTTTCAAACCCGACCTCAATGATTAGTTTTTGCGGTAATTAATTCGATATATTTTTTTTGTTTTCGAAGGAAAGCAGTTTTTTTAATAAATTTATTACTATATTATAATTAAAAGATATTTTGAAGGGTTTTTTTAGCATTTAAACTACGCTGATGCAATATATTAATATAAATAACTTAGTAGGAAGTCTCGTTATTATTTTTATGGAAATCGTAGTTTGCAAGGTAACAGTTATTATTTTCTTAAATATTTTCATGTGTGAGAATCAAATAAATATTTACAGAATGTCTTGACGTTTTATTTTTTAAATACCATGTTTTTCTTTCTTTCTTTCTTTCTTAAAAATAGTTTGAGTACGCCCCTCGTATTGTCGGTTGACTGGAATATAAAATAAATATAGCCTTGGCATTTATTATTTACTATTAAAAAAATAATATACAAGAAAATATATTCGATTGACTGGACTATAAATAAATATAGTCTGGTAAATCTGCATATATTTAAAAAAACTTTATAATACAAGAAAATCTATTCGATTGCCTGGACTATAAAATAAATATAGACCGGTAAATCGGGAGAATTTTATTTTAAAAAACGTTTAAATACCATGTTTTTCTTTTTAAAAAATAGCATCATTATGAGACTGATGAAAATGAACTTATCTGAGGTTTATTCCCTCTTAATTTTACTTTTTCGATAAGAAAGTTTACCTAAATTCAAATTAAAGGTGATTGCATAATGCACCGCTTTTGATATAATCTTGAAGAAGCATTTTCAACAGGTCTTTTACACAAAGCGTGTTTTCACCGTATTATTAGAGATAATAAATCAAATATACATTTACAATCCTATAAAAAATAATTTTTTCGAAAAATACAAATCAAAAATTGACATGTGTCCGAACTGGCGCTGTCAAACTTGGCAACGCTGATTAAATAGACTTACAGGAGAGGGATTTCCACCCCTCAGAGGGAGTAGATGTTGATTATAAAATTTAGCGCGGGAAGAGGGGAAGACTAGTAATTGCTCGGAAATTGTCTCCATAGAGTCGCATCTCAAGCTTATTAACAAGCATTCTACCCCACTCCTGTTCATTGGTGCGATATCTACCCGTCTTTTTTATGAACTAACAGCTTGTGGAGTAGATAATAATGTGAAACAAAAAATAGTTATTATAAATACTTCCGAGTGAGATGAGCAATAAAAATGGCTGCGCCCATAGAGTTTCATCTTGTTCTATTGGGCATTCCAAACAAAATGGCTACCAGTCGGTAAAATTATGGCAACCCTGTAACGAGCGGATAAATCTCGAGTTACGTTCCGTGTTCCATCTCTTTTTAATCGTGTTGGTTCTTTGTTGTCAAATAATTGAGGTTGTGTTGTGATGTGAAAAGTAAAATTTGAAATGGTTGAAGTTTGACAGGTCCTTGGAATGCCTAATACAACATGCACATTGGTCTTCTACTTCAGTTCGTGGGCGAAGTTTATGCAATGTTTTTATGATCTAATAGGTTCTTTCGTTCGTCCCACTGGTTTAGGAATGAATTACATTAACGCACACCTTTCGTTTGGCCCGGTGTAAAATCCACTACACCGTAATTATCCTTCCTCCATGACTACACCTTCCTGTCGAAGATGTGATATCTACTGGTGGATATTTTCTCTACCAGCTATTTAGCAAGAGTGAATTACACTCGACATGTGAATAAGGACGAGGTAAACTAAGTAAATAAAGGTGGTTTAATTTACACCAAGCGAACCAAATTCAATGTTATACCGTGGTAACTATCCTCTGTTAATGGTTGTCATAACGGGCTATCCCGGTAAAAATTGAACCGTCAGTATTAATAACTGTCATTATTTTAAGTCACATTCGAAAACTTGTAATGATGGTGTCAAATAAAATTTTATTTCAGTTAAAGGTTATAAAAGGTAGTAAATTGCAGTATATCATAAAACGCTCGTTACCTGATTTCTACGTGCTCGCGCGGTCATATAACGTGCTCGCTATCACTCGCACATTAACGGTACTCGCATGTATAAATATCTAGGTAACGGGCTTATAATGTACGCTATACTAGTGTCCAATATAGTTTACGACCTTATCAAAGTTGTTTATAGTACAGTCTGTAAGAAAATCTGATACTCGTGATTGTTTTACGCTCGTTATCTAATTTTCAGTTCAACTTTCTTACATAATACACAGCATATAGAATGGTTCTGTTCAGTCCATCCGCTTTTCGTTTTATATGGGTGAACAATCTAAATAATAATATAGCATTGGGTGTGACAAGTTTGGTATGCAACCATTTTTACACTTTCGTGTTAAAGTATTTTAGGTTGCCTAACCTTAACAACTATTATAAGACAAAAAATTCATTTATTGCAAAATGCAACAAAAAATTGGAAAAATAATGTTTTCTTTAAACATTTATTAATCGTCTTAACCCTATTATATTACATTTATTCATCGATAAACTATAAAAACTATACAATATATATTTATTTAAATTTTAGAGGAATGATAAATCACTAAGGTTTTAATACTCATTTGTTTGGTTCATTAACTTGATTTTCGTTAGATCGGTTTTTATCATTATTGGCCTGCTGTAACTGCTGCCGAACTTCTCTATTTGCTTCCAGCAATTGAAGCAACTGGGCATGAATATTGTCATTTTTCTGTTCAATATCATCCAAAGCAGAATTTAGTACGTCCAATTGATTGTCCAAAGCAGCAAATTCTGAAATTAAATACACGATTGTTAAAGCTATAACCACACCGGACGCATTTACCTTCTGGTGACATATCTCCGGAATTATCCTCCTCCTCATTTGGCTCATCATTGGTGTTATTGTCATTGCTTTCAGAATTCGCGTCCATGTTTTCCTCCCCAGTTGGATTTTCTGTAGCGCCCGTTAACATCTCGTTCATAATTTTACCTTGATTATCGCTATTTTCTTTAGACGGTGCTATTTTTTCTCCCATATCAAAATTAAAAATATTTAACTTTTTGACACCCCTACATTATTTACCTTAATTTTGACGTTTGTCATATGATCAAGTTTTTAGGTTATAATGGTTTTCTTCTTTCTTTGCAAGAGTAGTGAGCACCAATGACATATATAGTTTATATAGACTGCTCATCCATACGTAAATAAAACGATGAAAAGCGGATCGTTGTGGGAAATATTTTCTTTTTCTAGTACATGCAATGTTTGTGTTTTGTCTCACTACTTGTAAACAAAACATTTACAGAACCGGTTTAAAAGAAAGTTTAGTATAGTGTCATTATTTTCTACACTGGTCACTCAGTGTTGCCGTACTTTTATTATGCCGTTTTTGATGGTTCATGAAATAAAATCAAATATCAGATAAAATAGAATTTTATTTATAAAAACAAATGTGTGAAATACTCTAAAGAAAAACTACATAAAACAAAAAATGGTAACAGGTAGAAAAATAGGAACCTACTCTTTTATACAGTCGTTTTAGACCAATTAATCTATAAGTACCTCCATTTTTCATAAAAAAACAAAAATGTCAAAAAATTAATTACAAAACAAAAGTAAAATGGACTACCTAACTAATTACTTATATATTTTTGATAACGATCTTTAACCGCTAAAAATGATTCCAAAAATTGCTAAGACTGTCAAAAACGTAGTTTGGTTACCTAAAAGTAACATCTTAAAAGACACATCTCACTTAAAAACCGTGATATGTTAATACCTAAAATGTGCTTAAAATTAAAAAAAAAAAAATCAGGTTTTGGCATACACAATTTTACCCAACTCTTTTTTTTTTCAGTTAAAAATAATTATTTGACTATGTGCTTGAGAGAACATTCATAATAGAGGTTAAAACGTTTAAAAAATCCATTAAAACCACTGTGAAGACTAGAAATATCGTTGTATATTTTTTTTGTATTTTAATATTAAATATCGTTAAAAAAAATTAATAATTTTCATATCGTTTATCCTGTCACTTAGACGAAATCGGTGCTGCCTTTTTCTCTTCCTTTTCCTACAAAATACGAAACGTTCTATTTAAAAAACAAATAACAACCCCTCCTAAAATCGACATCGTATCAAAATATACATCTACGTTTTCAAAAATATCCTATATCTACAATAAAAACGCTTAAACACAATAATAAATAAATCAATCTAATATGCATTATTTCTAAATCGCACACCGACTTGCTGTCGAAATTGACATAAAAAGATCACCGCCTCACTCATAAAATCTAATTACGACCTTTCCGAACCAACATACCTTAGAAACAAATATTTAATATCATCAAAAATCAGAGATTGAGCATTTTTAATAATAAGAAGTGTCCGATATTGTCAGTTGGCGCGTAAAACATCTGTCACGCGTCAATTGTCGTATAAGACATCTGTCAAACGTCAATTGTCGTGTAAACCATCTGTCAAACGTCAATTGTCGTGTAAAACATCTGTCAAACGTCGATTGTGTGCGTGCCAAATGTCGTAATGTAGAATCTATTTATGAGGTAATAAAACGTTAACTGTCAACTGTTCTGACGACAAAACGAAAATATTTTCTAATTGTATCACTCAGACCATCAGAAATTAAGTTAACAAATGTTTAATATCTTTTAAGCATCAGAAATTTTATTAAATAAGCGACCGTCAAACTTTAGATGTCTTGAAAATCAATCGTCGAATGTCAGATGTCATAACATCTCAAAAAGAGATGCCAAACGCTATTAGAAAATTTTAGCAAACCTCCGCTAGCCATCCGTTAGCGTTATACTGGGATTTTTATCCCTTCGAATGTTAATGAAAAAATGTCACATTCTAAGTTTGACATAACGTTAACGAACATCCTACATCAATTTGCTGAAACTCTCTATTAAATGTCAGTTTCTACTGAAGACGAGAACCTTTTCTTTTAGCATTCGATCGCAAGCATCGATTGTCCGATTCGAAAATTAACCGACGCTAACTTTAAGACCGGTGTCCAAGTGGAGGAGTTGCTTGCACGTTTCGTAGGTGGAAAATGACACCGCGACCATTGGTATGGCTCGCATGTAGTTGATGGACATGCCCCTGTATAAGCCCTTGACGACGCCGTTGTCGCTGTAGATTTTCGATAAGGTGGAGAACATGCCGTCGGCGAAATGGCGAGTTTCCGGGTTCATCATTGCCAGCTGCATTCGCCTGGAAACACATGAAAAATTTAGAGCTAAAAGAAAATCGAAAAGGCGGATTAATTTGGTTTGAATTAGGCCTCCACGATTTCTAGAAAATTTTTCAGGTAATAGTCATTTGTCGTTTCTTCTTTTTAAAACTATATTTCGCCTTTTGCTTGTAAGCAATTCACCCAATTTATTTAATTTTCTACTTTTAAAAAGTGTGTTTGGACAAGTAACTGAGTTTTCCGAGCGACGCATCATTACAGCAAAACGATTTAATATAAATAAATTTGGAGTTTTATTTAGAATTAAAATATATATATTATTTCTTTAATCGATGTTACTAAACCTCTTTGCGGAATCGCAATTTTAGTCCCGTTTGTGTATAAATTACCATTCTTAACGCATATTACTAGACCCGCGACGTTGTCAGACTTATCAACAGGTTTGTGCTTGTAAAAACGGTACGACGTATTTTCAAATGCACTTCCTTGCAGCATTAAATTCCTTGTGAATTTATATATCTGATGATACTAACATTTTAGCCTATTATACATATACAAGGTGTCTTATCAGTGCATAATTGATCGATATCTATTTTATTATAGGAGATACGAAGACATTTTTAATACGACTATATTTTACAGTTATTCTTAAATATACAGTGTAAATGGGAAGCGAATCAAACTTATATAAATTTAAACCGAACACCCTGTAGGTAGATACACATAACAGTTATTCTTTATAAAAAGTTCTGCATCGTCTAAAACTGAAAATGCAACTATAATATATAAAATTTTTTAAGCCGTATACGAGGTGCGTCAACATATATAAATTTTGCTTAAGAGTATAGTATCTTTATTTTTGACAATAATTTAATTTGCAAATTGTCTTTTGTCTAGTAATAATAAATGATACGAAATATTAGACATGCAAAATTTTAAAATTATTTATTATTTTAAGAGAAAAAAAAATATATAAAAAAATAATTTAGAATGTTTCTAAAGTAGGATTTAGTAAAATTTACTATTGTCAAAGCATCCAATTTTTTTTCTTGTTTTTAAGTATTATTTTGCATTTAATTCAAAATTGTCTATTGACTAACTTCAGAAATATCTTTTGGTGGAGCCACTGTTTCAAAATTTGATTTAATTTTTATAAAAAAATGCAAAAATTTGATTTTTACACATCTTTTTTAAGCTTTTAAGAATTTGTATTCCTACTTTATTTTTATCAATTTGAAAGAGCTCACCTGCTAAGCGATTCTGATCTAATACCGTGTAAATATCAGTTCTAAAAGCCATCTAGGCCCGTAGCTTTTGATATAACATTCTCTTTTCCAACTTACGTCATTTTGGCGGAAAAAATATATATACAATTATTATTCTTGTATCTACAGCCCTTTATGATTTAACAAGGGTGTTAAATACCAGAATTTATATTTGTTTTTGTTAGTTTTATTGAAAATTGATACACATTTTAGTAGACAGTACCTACTTGTGTTAACCAATGATACAAAAATTGAATAAAAACATTTTATAGTCATAAATTTTTACCTTTTATATCCTTATAGGAATGAAGTAAATTCATGAAACAAAATCTAACTTAAATTCAAACTAGAATGCAAAGCCACATAAGTTTATCATAAAATTGAAGCCATATGACCAGAGCTGGGCACGAGTACTGAATAAAATACTCGTAAATTTTACGAGTACGAGTACTCGAAATTTGTATTTATAAGTATTTTATTCGTAAGTACTTTTATAGAAACAGTTTACGGATAAGAGTAGTAATCGTGAAAATACGAGTAAGGAGTACGAGTAGTTTTACAAAATTATAATAAAACTATAAAAAAACAAAGAAAAACCACTATAATTTTTAAATAAAAATAGTCTTTATTTACCTAAACAAAAAACTATTCTAAAATAAATTAAGTTTTTAACAATCAACGAAGGAACAACACAGTAACAAAAAAATATTCTAAAATAAATAAAATACAAAAACTTTGTTTAGAATATCAATAAAACAAACATGGTCAACTTGACAGTAAACAATTAAATACAGTTTTTTAAAACTACAAGTTTTTCGAAATTAGTATCTGATAGAGCGTGCCTCCTTGGGCTATTAATAATTGTTGCGAAAGAAAATAGTCTCTCTACAGCCGCAGATGAAGTCAAAGGCGTATATTTCATAAACATTTTTTTTATTGTTGGATAATCATCAAGTATTTTTAAATTAGTTCGTGTATCACTAATGTATCTAAAATATTCCAATTCCGCTTTGTTTTTTTTTTAAAATTTGCTGTCATAGAAAAACTATTTTCTTTCTGAGAGAAACTTGTTCCGGGAATGCTCTTAGAAGTTTCACATTCATCGAAATCAAAAAATGCGCTTAACGTGTCACAAGCAACATTTGCATCAGATGTTTCATCTAAATCTATAACCTCGATAAAATTACTTGCTTCATTTAATACCATTTTTTCTATCGATGTTAAGTTTGGAGACAGTGGATATGCTTTACTAATAATGTTATACCAGCGTAACTTAAATTGCGGATGTACAACAGAAGCTATAACAGCGCCTTGTACCTGTGAATCTAATGTAAAGAAAAGCTTAAATCTAGTTTGTAAGCCGTCGAGGCACGCTTTAAGTAAAGGTGAAGCAAATTTAAAATTTGTTTTCGATAATTTGTCAAGTTTATTTTTTAATGAGGCTAAACATGGGAGCAGAAGACCATAAAAATTATTTGCTTCGCCTTGTAATACATCTAGGGTAGCAGCCAACGGTTCCATTACTTGACAATATTCTTCCAAGTATAAAAGTTCGTTTGCATAAAAAGTTTTTTAAATTTAATCTTTGAAATAAATCATTCATTTTGTTTTTGTCTTTTAAAATTTTACTAATGGAATCATAATAAGAATTCCAACGTGTGGCTCCCGGGTAAGAAAGTGTATGCCCTAAAATTTCCAAAATAACCTCAGCAGATTTCGGAAAGGCTGCTTTTTTCCATAATGTATTGCATTTGGTCATTGCTTGAGAGTGTCTTAATTTTAAAACGGCGTTGCTATTAATCACTTTATAACAATCAGTAGTGCAAATTAAATTAATAGTATGACACGCACAACGTAAATGGTTAGGTTATGTTGTTTATCGATAACCTCACCTTCATCCCCAATGATTGTAAATGTAATTTCTTCAATATCTTCGACATCAAATTCCTCTTCACCGCTGCTTGTATTTTCTTCATTTTCAATAAAATCATCTTGCACACCCATACTAGATGAAATAGGCAGTGTAACTCCAAATTCTTTAAATGACTTAACAAAATTTGAACCGTTATCGGTGACAGTTGCCACGATTTTGTTTGTGTCCAATCCATACTTCATATGTATATCTTCTAAAATACTAGCAATTCTATCGTAAGAATGAGTGCCTTTAAACCGCTGACATGCCAGGGTCACTGATTGTCGACTAAAGTCATGATTTATCCAATGGCAGGTAACTCCAATAAAACTTTTTTCCCTGACCAAATATCGGCCGTTGTACAAACATATTGGACATTTAGTAAATCGGATTTCAATTTTGCTTGCCTTTCTTGAAATAATTCCGAAATACGTCGAGTCAAAGTATTTCTGCTAACAATTTCTAGATTAAATCCATCAAATAACTGTTTGAAACTGGGAGTTCCACTATTGATAAAGGACTCATAGTGTTAATTACGAATTTAATCAGTCTGTTTTCGAAATCCGTCTTGGTTATTATTTTTTGACCTTGCTGAACTGCCACAAATTTTTGCAAACTGGTTTGCAGCTTAGGATTAGCAGAAATCATTTTTGATTTTTTAGATTTTTTATTTTTATTAAGTTTCTTTTTTTGGTTCTTATATTTAAGATACTTGGTATAGGCGTTCTGATGAACCGTTTTCAAATGTTTTACAAAATTGGTCGTAGTTGTTACAGATCCTTTAATATTTTTAATTTTTGGCTGGCAAGTTTTACAAATTGCTTCAATATTGTTAAAACCCATTATTTGTTTGACCTAAAATAAAATATTTATATAAATTAAAGTTACAAAGTTAATTATAACGGCACTCGTTCGGAAAGTAATTACCCGATTCATAGAATTAAGTTGTGCAAAATAACGTAACCATTTTCACGTTTTATTAATAAGATTTTCAAAAAGTGTGTTAAGTGGGTGTCGAAAAAAAAAATGAATTATTACCTCAAAAAATTTTCCGTCTAGAATAGCATTTTTGGCAATTCTTTTTTGGATTCTACCCTGACTTTCATTAGTATCGACATCAACTGGCTTGAAATTTTCCCCCGTATCCTTAGACTGGCATGCACGTTCCTCTGGCATAGTAACATCACTATCCGAACTACCATCGTGGGCGATTCCAGGATTAAAATCACTTCCAGAATCAGTGGAATACGGATCATCCACAGACATATCACCACATTCACTTTCCATCTTTGTTTCTACGACAGCACGAAGTACGACCTAACATGATAAAAGCATAAGTCCCTTGGTGTATGATGTACTATATCATACACCAAGGGACCTAAGTGGCATTTTTATTCCTAAGCGAAAAGTTTGCAGCCCGACCGGAGGACGAGCTACAATTCGTCAAGGGATAAAAAGACTGTCCCGTGGTTTATATTATGTATACGCTATTTTATGCACTTTAAGCAAAGAAAAACTAAAAAACAATGAAAATCATGAAAAACCACTTTTATTCCAGGGAGTATCTGTAAATAGTGAATAAAAGTATACATTATTGTCTAAAGTACATAAGCTTCTTTATCCAAAATGTCAGTAAATAATCAAACAACAGACCTTTTTTTTTTTCACAAGTGCTTAACACTATAACGAAGATTGCGTATGGAGAGTATAGACGTTCTCGTAAGAAACACACTCACACCACCACAAAACACAAAAAATAATAAAACGTAAAACGCCCAACGAATTGCTTTTCCCAACCCAAATCAGAGACCGCAGCCCGAACGCAACCGAGGCCGTTTCGTGTCATGATTCATAATACTGGCGATCGATAGTAGCGACTGGCGGTTAACATGCGACGATCAAAAAATGCCGACTACTCGTATTTTACAAGTACATTCTACGAGTAGATTTAAATTTACTTGTAAGTACGAGTAATAAGTACTTCAAATAAAAAATACTTATAGGTAAAAATTACGAGTAGTTATTCTACTCGTAATCGAAATACGAGTAAAAGTATTCGAGTACTTGCCCAGCTCTGCATATGACACAACCACCTTTAAAATTTCCAATTTCAAGAAGGACCTACCTGTATTTTGAAAGATAACTTTAACAAAATATTGTAACACCTAGTTATATTACATTTTTAATAACCCTCATATTCCATTCCCATTATCTGGATGTTTATAAAAAAATCGTTAAAAAATAATTTCGATAACTTAATACAAGACCACACTGCCATTATGGGTTTAAAAACTGGTTACGCCCCCTGATTTCAATTTTAAGTTAAAAACTCCCGTTGTTATATCAGGACGTCGTATTTTGGTTCCAATATATTACACCAAAATTTTGTTTCATTGAATAATATAATTTTCTGTTTAGGAATAAGAAGGGGAGGACAAAAATCACATTTTATAAAAATAAGATTAGTTTAACTAATAATAACGTAATAATAACAGCTGATGCCTGGGATAATAAATCCTATTTATCAACCTCTTATGTATCAAAAAAATATTTCTATGACAATTTAACAGCCCCTTAACAAACGAACAGCGTTACCATGTTTAAGAGACTCGGAATTGACAATAACCTTGTAAATTTAACGGATATATAAGGGGCCTCGCATTGTTATTAGAAATTATATACAAAACGATCTAAGTGCACCCTAGGAAGAAATATAATGAACTAAAAACCGTATAAGAGGTGGATATACACATCACTTATGAGTAAAAAAAAAGAAGGGATTATTGTTGTTTTTGGGGGATTATGTGATGAAAAATAGTTCTATATACACGTGTTTGACATCGAGGCCTGTTTTCGGGCCTCATATAGTATCTTGCATATGTATTTACGGGCCTCGTATAAGACAATTATATATAATTAGAAACGGCGTCTTACCTTCTGGTCACGTCCAACGGATAACTGACACTCTGCGCTACAGCTCCAGCCAGACCACCGCAAATCAGCTTCGCAGGCACCGACAAGACCAGTCCGCCCGTATTCGTTTCGCATCGGTTACATGTCAACCAGTCCAAATATTTCATACAGCCGTACTTCAGATATTCAAAGCAAAAGAAGGATAGACCGGCGTATGGTACCATACCCATCAGGGTAGGAGTGAAGCCGCGATACAGCGCTTTGATCCCGCCCTCTTCTTTGAAAATCGTCGTCGCAGTGTGGATTATGCCGGTGTACACGTGCTCGCCACTTATCTGTAAAAGTGATGATTTAAAGTTGAATTTGGAAGTAAATAGGCAGTCAAGAATACGTCAATGGTTCAATCAAAAACCGCCACAAGTCAAAAAACAAAGAAAATTACATTGTTGGTTCAATGGATGCAAAATATCATTAAGATTTTACTTTAAATACCGCCCCAAACAAAAATATCCTTAAAGATGCCCGAAAATCATTTAAAATCTAGCCACAAACTGTGTCTAAAACTGCCTCAATTCGAGTTATTTTCTGCAAAAACACCCAAATTTTTTACAAACTATGCAATAACTTGCTTTTCTAATCGTAATCGTTAATTTTAACAGCAAAATATCGAAGATTTTAAATAAAATATAAAGATTTTATGTCAAAAACAATAGTATTTTAGTTGTGACAGTATTTGATTGAGCCATCGACGTGTAAAATGCTGATATAGTTGCCATGTGCAATATCTTTGAAAGAAGAATTCCATTCATTTCATAAACTAAGCCAATAATGCCAAATGACAGCCTTTTTCACACATTCTGATTCACGACTGCCAAAAAACTGTTTTCCTTACTTGAAAGGCTAGTCGTGCCCTTATGGTATCCAATGGGTATGTCATGGTGACCGATGTTAAACCCGCACCAGCTCCTGCTAGAAATTTGTCGATGTGTGACGTTTCTCCGAAGACCCCGTCCAGATATCTTTTGTATATTTCAAACGACGTAAACTGGATGGCGGCGTACGGGAAAATTCGTACCATTTGTGCTCCATTTCCTTATTTAACAATTTAAATATGGTAAAAAAAATATAAGAAGAAAAATTTTGTTTGTACATAACGAAATTTAATTATTATTATGTATTTAGGTTAAATAAATGTAAATATGTTAGGATAAGAGTTAAAGAGTAACTTTAAGCTAATCTTCGCTTATCACGAACATACATTGTGCATTTGTTTAAAAAAGTAATTTTTTTTAAATGTGGTTATGTGAAAAGTTTCATAAAATACTTTTTTTGCGCAGGTGTAGGTACAAGAGTAAATGTCGTATGTTCCCTTAACACTACTTAAGAGTATTTTATTATTATTATTATTATTATTACAACCAAAATTAAGGCTGAGGAATGAATCCTATTAAAATTACAAAGTTCAATAACAAAGACAATTATTAAATAAGTAATTAGCAAATAACACAATGCAAACAAAACAATAAATATAAATTTTAGTTTTTGTTCCAAAACGAATGATTTTAAAATATATTAAAGACGGTCCTGCGCTCGCGAACCCATTTGTTCATTGTTGGCGGCTAACAACAAGGTCTACGTAACAAAAGCCATATACGCCAACATATTCCCGTGTGAAAAACAAAAGGCTAACTAGTTTAAGTGATGTAATCATATGTCTATCTCTCTTTAAAACTATACAAATCGGCAGAGAGGTTCATGCTTTCATGGAGTAACGATCGTCTTTCACCAGCATTATTACAATTCGTTTATGTTATCTAAAAATCACTTAAGTTCTATGAGCAAAGATAGTACATAAAACAAAATGTGAAGTCCTAGTGCAGTATTAAACATGTAGGTGGTTGTTAAATTAACTAATGTAAATATGTACAAAGTTGAAAGTTGTCGTGCAGCGTTTGTGCACAATAAATTTACAAAGTTTTGTAATTTCATTGTCCACATGGAGATGGTTGCAGCTAGCAATGACAGGAGACAGTCCACTTGGTAAGCGTACCTTAGGACCGCACTTATAATTTGTGTTTGAATTCAACTGTTAGAAACCTATAAATACAACAGTTTTCCTTAAAAAGATCATCGAGTCGGTTTTTGAATACATTTACTGACTGTGCGCGAACAACACTCGAGGGTAAATTATTCCAAGTATGAAAAACTCTATTATAGGTACGTGTTTTATAATTTTCTTTGCTCAACTTATACTCGTGTCCACGTAGGCGCTCAAAAAGTACCATAAAGAATTCTGTAAATTACAATTAAATAACCTCTTAATCTTCTGTGGGCAAATGAACACAAACACGTCAACATACGATGCGATGGTCGGTTTCTATCGAAAGGTATTCGAGTAGCGTAGCGTTGAACATTTTCCAATCTGTTTTGATCAGAAACCAGATCAGGACACCACGCAAGTCCGACATATTTCATCAACGGTCTAACGTAAGTTGTATAAAGTTTAGAAAATATTTGAAAGTTCACACGCGTGAAGGACTTTTTTAATAGGTATAGCATTGAGTTCGAACGTTTACATACCGCTGATATGTTAATGATGAGTTTACAACGAGTCTCAGGTCGTTATAGTTCACAGTCGCTAACGCACCACCGTTTAAATAATACTTCACGCACGAGTTATTTTTTCTTATATGCAGGACGACACATTTTTTCATGTTTAAAGGAAGCAGTCAGGTGTTACACCAGTTTTAAATAGTTTCAAGGTCTTTTTGTAGCTAGGTAGAATCTGTCACAGGATTAGAGTATAGCTTAGTGTCATCAGCGTAACACGAAATATTAGAATTTAAGTCTTTGCCTAGATCTGCAGCGTATATCAAGAATAGTAATGGCCCTCTGACGAGAACATCTGTTTAACTTTAACCTTGAAGATGCGATTTGACAAAAATCACTTATTCAGAGAAGTAAACAGCCACGAATGTCAGTTTTTTCCGACTTATAAAGCAATCTCTTTTTAGGAACACGGTCAAAGGCTTTAGCGAAACCAACATATACGACATTGATAGGCTCTTTATTGTCCATAGACGTAGTCCAATCGTTTAAACAGGTCATTAAGCATGTTAATGTGGATCGGCCTTTGATAAAACCGTGTTGTTCTTTTGGCAAAACCTCATGGCTCTTGAAAAAATCAAACCTATAATTGGTTAAGATGGATTCCATTATTTTACAGGCAATTGGGACGAGACTTATTGGACGATAGTTAGATGGACTGAGTTTGTCACCCTTCTTAAAAACAGGTGTCACCGAAGTAATTTTTCACATTGAAGGAAGTGTGTGAGATGTAAAGGAAGACAGAGGCAAAGCCAAATAAGAAGCGCATTCTTTTAAAACCATTGCGAATAAATTGTCAATTCCAGGTGAGCTATTTCATTGAATTTTTTTGGGAATTTTCATTAACAATTGCAGATGAGAACTCGACATTACATAAAGAGGTTGCTGTTCGGGCATCATGACTAACTGGGATGTCGCCTGTGGGTTCTAAGGAAAACATTTGTGAAAAATGGTTGGCCTGAGCTCCAGCTGTTTCTTGATCATTATTACATACGATTGATTCCATCCATTTTTTTAAGAACCGGGACTGATACTTTGGAAGATAGAGAGCATCTTACATGTTTAAATAACTTCTTAAGATTATCGCTACTAGCGATATATTCTTCGTATTCTCTTTTTGCGTTATCAATCACTTGATTAAATCGTTGGCGAAACGTCGATGGTTAACAAAGTTGTTCAAGATTGGAGTCTATAATAAAATTTATAAAGTGCGAGACATAGTGTTGCGATACTTCAAGACCTGTAAGTGGCGAGGAAATTTCTGGGAAGTTGAAATCCGCAACCATCACAAGATTGTTATGAGAAATAGATAGGTTTGAAAGTAGGTACCTCAAAAAGCTATTGGTCGTTTTCTAGAGAAGTTTTCTTTGGAGGATGATATAAAATATATCGGAGTGGTTGAGAAAGATTTGTATGATAGTTTTAACGAGATTAAATGTATATTAGGAATATTGGTATCTAAGGCGGTGACAGAGTAAGTTGAAGTGATGGATGGCGCTAGATAGATGCAGACCCCTCCACCAAAATTATTTGCGCGGTTGCTTTTGTAAATTGTGAATCCAGAATTATTAATAAGTGAATCGGGAATAAACAACTTGAGCCAAGTTTCAGAAATTAAAATAATGCTGGGAGAAAAAATGTTGCACTGAGCATAAAAAGCTATTGAATTTAGCAGTTAGAGAATCCAGGTTAGTATACATAAGGGTGCAATCGTTAAATTGTGGAGGTTGTCGGCTAGCGGGATTGAAAGGGATTTGTCTTCACAATTTTTGGAGTACCGTTATATTTTATTGTTATGTTATTTTCGCCATTCCGCTTTTTAGCTTCCAATTCATCTCTTAAGTCTTGAAGAATCTGTTGTTGGGTAGGGGTTTTATCGTCGATAACGGTAATGTTTTTCAATGTTGCTATTTCGAAGACTTTCTTTTTGTTTCGTGAAACGTTTTTGGCGGCGTGTTCGAAGAGCATAATTACTTTGAGTCATCGGGGATAACGACCATTTTGTTCAGCTTTTCCAACGCGGAAAAAGTGAAAGGTTGATCGAAAACTCTGTCTATGACTCATACGCCGCAAAGGAATCTATCCGATAGCTTCTCGAAGCGGTGCATTTGTCCCTATATGGCCTGCGCTAGACTTCATACCGCGGGCAAGGAGTAAACAAAGTACAGAGACGGCTTCACATCACAATATAAATTTTATGCACGATAAGTAAGGAAAAATAATATTTTCAATTTCAATATAATATTTTTTCTCAGTGTATAGCATTTTTTACGTTCCATTAATTATTTTTTCGATGTATTATACCGACATCCGTCTCATACGTCAAATTCAAAGTCAAACTACCACTTTTGGTTAAGCTATTAATTTTTTGTAAATTTCTTTTGGAAATTTTGTTAAAATTAACTATTTTTGTAAAATTAAAATATTCACATGGATTACCTTGAAAATATTGCTCGTGATTATCAAAATATATTCACACATTTATCGCATGAATATTTTACAATTGAAGGGTTTATTCGAATAACATGATAAGCCACAACAATCACGGGCGTCGTTTGGAGGGGGCAAGGTGGGGGGCAGTTACCCCTCCCTGGCTTTTACGACTTAATCAACAACGTATTATATATGAATTACTGATATTTTAGATAGGTACTATTATAGGTTCTTTAAGCCTGTTACACCCAAAAACACAAAAAATAATACTTTTTTATTACCGATCAGAAAATGAAAATAGTGGACAAATTTGGAATCGACAATTTTGAAGCTGAATACCAAACGTGGATAGCTAACTGGACTACTAATCTATTAATGATATAGCTGAACGTGGCTGCGGTCTACAATGAATAAAAATAGGTAACTGGACTGGGCTCTACATGAATAGTATACAGAAAACAAACAAGAAATTTCAAATTTGCGTTTTTCTAAAGCCTTTGTTTGTGTTCGTCGACGTGTTTGAGTGAGTTTTTTATGTTTTCGTGTTTCTATAAATATTTTATTTTTTTATTATTATTGTGTATGGCTTTGTCTTCTTGTTCCTCTTTTTTTTATTTCACACCTTCTTTGTTTCCCTACAAATAAACACTATTTTTTTTTAATTTTGCCCCTTCCTATAGAATTTTGTAACGACGTCTATGACAACAATATAATTTATTGAGGAAATACGTCTTGAAAAGTTAAAATAAACTTCTAAAACTACTACAACTTTGTTAAAATGCAATAACTTGATATTTCAGCTAATGATGGTATTTGTTAGAGAATTTCCTTTTGGTTTATAGCTTTTGTAACCTAATGTTTATTGTTGTTAAAATGCCTTTATTTTAAAAAGTGTGGCTTATCATGTTTTTACAATAAGCCCTATAATTATTCCAGTTTTTAAACTATTTTAATCGGATTAGTGCTAATTTATTTATTAATAAAAAAAATCCTTGCATAGTCTAAATTATTGTAAAAACAAAATAAGCAGTAATTAAATCACAAGCTTGTAATTTTTTACGTCTAGCTTCCAGCAAATTTGATTAAGTTAGTATGCATCAGTGATGCCAGAAGTGCAGAATTTTCTTCAACATGCAGAATTTTAGCCTACAATTTGAACTATTGAAGAAAAGAAGAATATTTTACGGAAACCACTAAAATATGAAGAATTTTTTTAAATTCAGATGATTTTTCTATCAAATCAATAAAAATACTTAATAATTTAATCCTTTAACTCGATTTTAACATTGTATTATTGATTTAAATGTAATTATTTTATTCATTTACTATGCATCTTTCGGTAAAATGGTATAACTACGACTCAAATTACATCACCGATATACAGGGTGTCTGTAAAAGGTCTTTACAAAAACATACCACATATTCCTTAGACCAAAATAAGTCGATTTAAGTAAAATTACCTTAGTACAAAGTTGCTTTGTTTAGACTCCAGAGGGCATTGAAGTTACAATTTTTAAATCGTTTTTCCCATATAAATTTAAAACGGCATATGCGATTTTGCTAAAATGTGGTATATTGGTAGAGTTTTATGTGGCTAAAAAAGTGGTATTAAAATTTTGTTCGATAATAATACATAGGCGTAGAACTTGATTTTTTAAATAATTGCACCTTTAAAAATTCTACGCCAATGGAAGAAAAGGAGTTTGAGTATGAAATTTAGATTGTGCAACTCATTTACTTTAAAAAAGGTACTCTTGATAAGACTCGATTACTCTCATGGTTTTGACGAAATTTGCATTTTAGAACATAAACAATAATTATTAAAATACAAACTTTGTCAAAACCATGAGAGTAAATCGAGTGTTATCAAGGGTACTTTTATGTAGTAAAAGAGTACCCAATCCAAATTTCATACTCAAACCCCTTTTCTGCCATTGGCGTAGAATTTTTAAAGGCGCAATTATTTAAAAAATCAAGTTCTATGCCTCTGTATTATTATCGGACAAAATTTTATACGATGAAAAACATAAAAATAAATATAACACGCAATTCGAAAAAGAAGAATGCCCTTCATTAGAAGAAAACTATTATTGTAAACAAAACTTTGTACCAAGAGATAACTGCACCCTCCAACTCCTGGAAGGATTAACCCCTACAGATTGCCATATATTAGATGTCAAAGTGCAAGAATTAATTATTGAACAAATTACAATGGATAATATATTAATAATCCCAGCGAAAACAGAACAAATATTTTCTAAATGCAAAAGTAATCAATATATACAGATAACATCACCTACTTTAATCAAGATACCCGAAAATTGCGAAATTTGGACTGGAAATAAGAAATTTATAAATAATATTCAAATTCGCCAAGGCAAACCATTTATTTTACCAAGGATCGAAACGGAAACCTTACATTCATCAAAACATTTCGAAACTTCGAATATTACGAAACTCGATTTTGATGACTTACATGAACTTAATGAAATTTCTAAACAACTTAGACCTATTCAAGAAATAAAGGACATCCCGTATAACAATTCACTATTTGGTTCTACTATAGGAGTCATACTACTTATTATTATCATCCTGCTACTAGTCAGACATAGAAGATTAATTTTGGAAAAATTAAGAAGGAAGAAGAATCCAAAACTTCCTGTAGAAAACGCAGCGATCAGCCTTCAAGGAATTTCGAAAAATACTTCCATATTTTCCGAATCTTAGGAAGGGAGGAGTTATATTAGAATATTCCCTTAATCACCCAAAATATAATCATATATTGTAAACAAGATAATGTTACTTTTCTTTTATATAAATAGTTAAACATGTACTAAATTATTCATTATTCGTTTAGACTCGATACTTGTTCTTTGTATTAGAATACGTTCTCAAAAGTTAGCATTGTAAAGTTCACTAAGTTAATAAAGTTTAATTTTTTTTAAAAAATAAGTTTTCGCTTCCAAAGTTAAAACTAAATGTACTTTTTTCATATCTTCTTCAACACCTCTAATCGAAACTTTTAACAAAAATACTCGATCTTGCCATGTACGATTTTTTGAGGAATATTAATTATTTGTACGTATACAAAAACATTTATTGTTGGTTTCCATAGTTTCATCTAAATAAAAATATTGTCAAGTTTTAACACCTAATCTCTTGTTAACGATTGAAAGTGTTCTATCTGACTCAATAATTAAAAAAATAAATGCGTGGTTTATTAATATGGCTGTACAATATACCAATGCAGAATATACCAATATGTTACTGACATTAGAATTTTCTGAAGGAAATGCTCGAGAGAGTGTCAGGGAGTACTCTGAAAGGTTTCCAAATCGTCGTGTACCTAGCCACCCAACTTTTGCTGCTGTTGAGAGACGTCTTCGGGAGACCGGTTCCTTTGCTCCCAACACTGTTGATAATGGAAGAGAACGTTTTGTAAGGATTCCTGAAGTTGAAGAAGACATTTTAGAACGTGTTGAAGAAGATCCAGAATTAAGCACCAGACGAATTGGAAGGGAACTAGGAGTAAGTAAAGATGTCGTTCATAAAGTGCTTAGAGAACAATTGCTATATCCATACCATAAGAAGCCAGTATAAGAATTATTAGTCCATGATCCTCAAATTCGTTTGGGTTTTTGTCGTGTTAATATCCAAAGAGAAAGAGATCCAAACTTTGTCAAGAAGGTTCTCTTTACCGATGAAGCGGGTTTTACAAGAAGAGGTATAACTAATACCGATAATGAACATGTTTATGCCGTTGAAAATCCGCATGCAATAAAGGTAAACCATTTTCAGCACGAATTCAAAATTAACGGAATGGAATGGGCTGGAATAATTGGTAATTTCATTGTTGGTCCTGTCATACTTCCACGAAGATTAACTGGAGAAAATTATTTGGATTTTCTACAAAATACGTTGCCAGAATTGTTAGAAGATTTACCTCTTCAACTTCGGAGAGATATGTGGTTTATGCAAGATGGAGCTCCACCACATTTTTCTTTAAACGTTAGAAACTACTTGAATGAACAATATCCACACAAATGGATAGGCAGAGGTAATGACGCACCTGTAAACTGGCCACCACGTTCCCCAGACCTAACACCGATGGATTACTTTTTATGGGGACATCTGAAATCCACAGTTTACAGGGAACCTGTAGAAAATGAGGAACAACTCTGGCAACGTATTCAAGATGCAATAAACAATCTTAGAGGTGATGAAGAAGTTATGGAAAGGATACATTTTAATTTTCTTCGACGTATAAATCTTTGTATGCGTGAAAATGGTGAACATTTTGAACAATTTTTGTAAAATCTCTATTTTGATTATGTTGTAAATTAATATTTTTGTGAAACCTATACACTCTAAATCATTAAAACAAATTTAGCGAAAACCATGAGAGTAATCGAGTCTTATCAAGAGTACCTTTTTTAAAGTAAATGAGTTGCGCAATCTAAATTTCATACTCAAACTACTTTTCTTCCATTGGCGTAGAATTTTTAAAGGTGCAATTATTTAAAAAATCAAGTTCTACGCCTATGTATTATTATCGGACAAAATTTGAATACCATTTTTTTTGCCACATAAAACTCTACCAATATACCAAATTTCAGCAAAATCGCATATGCCGTTTTAAATTTATATGGGAAAAACGATTTAAAAATTGTAACTTCAAGGCCTTCTGGAGCCCAAACGAAGCAACTTCGTACTAAGGTAATTTTACTTAAATCGACTTATTTTGGTTTAAGGAATATGTGGTATGTTTTTGTAAAGACCTTTTACAGACACCCTGTATATTCCTTTTGTGTATTGCGTACCCATTTTCAAGAAACGGGTACCAATGCTGCAAAAATGTCTGTAACTGAAAAACATTTAAACTTAATGAAATTAAACAATTTGTATTCGTAAATGATGTAGTTTACAATTTTTTGATGTGCCTGTAAAATAAATAATTCCTGTTCTTTATTTTTAAATATTTTATTTACCATTAGAGATAGGTACTTGCCTTTCAAATTTACTTTCTTACCTAACCGTCCTTTCTGTTCCTAACCTACCTAATTCTAAACCACAGAACACCACGTCTCAGAACTAATAAGGTTTTTTATGTACCTATCTAACGAAGAAATGACGTTTTACATCTCTGCAGAAATATGAAGAATTTTTGAGGTTAAATTGAAGAAAATTGGTATAAAAAATCTGGCAACACTGGTATGCATTCAGTTTTTGATAGATTTGCAATTAAATAAAAATAGTAGAATTTTTCTAAAGTTAACCAAAATAGTATATTGTTTAACGAGCGACGACAGAAGCATTTTCTGCAAACGAGAGAACAGTTTATCAAACGAGGCGCAGCCGAGTGTGATAATGTTCTCATGTTGCAGAAAATGCTTTACGACGAGTAAAACACTATACTTCTTCTATGTAGGATGTACAAGAAGTTTGAATGAGTTGAATTATCTTTAAAGTGATCTCGACGAAATCCGCGATTTAGGGGTAAACCCCGTTTTACCATGTTTATTTTGGCATCTAACTTAATATTATAATTAAACTTTTCCTTTATAAAATCCTAAAAAATGAACTCTAAGACTGTAACAATAATTTTATAATATCTAGAGACGAAAGTTAACGTTATGGGATATTCTATCACTGGTGTCGGTTGAAGTAAAACGTTGTTGATTTTTAAATGGTTATGAAAAAAGTATTTTATGAAACTCTCTTGTTCTTGTTAACATGCATTATCTGTCATAATTTTTAATACCTTTATATAGAGCAAACGGACCTTCGTTTTTGATTATATGACTCAAACCTTTGACGACACCGTGACTTTCGTGGTGTTTATTGTGCGCCTGTAAGAGAATTTTAACTCTATCTAGCGGAGCCACTGTCGTTTTTGACAACATACCTGCTACACCTGAAATCAAAATGAACAAATTATAAAAATGATTTTTTCTACACCCGTATTATAATAATGCACTTATATGCCCATAATCCGTTTCATAATGATACCCATTATGATACAGATTTTTCATTATGATACAGATTTTTAATCAATAGAAACCTACAATTTTTCAATCAAGCATGATGTTTGACGTTTGTCCTAAATTCCTATGTAATTGTTTTAGTTGTCAAAACGTATTAAATTTTCGTAGATAGCTAAACTTCGATAATTATAATATTAAAATGTCTGATATCAGCGATATAGAAGACTCCTCCACACATATCGGAGAAAGGAGAAAATGCAGTACAAAATATTTTGCCCCAAAAATCTGTGGTAATACCAATACCCAAGGTAATACCATTAATTACAATTTTGTAGAATTTTTTATAGAAATACGAGTAATTACTGTTATTGTGTTCAATGCCAATATAAATAGAATATTTATAGGTCTTGATTATTTATCGGGTGTAGAAAAAATAGCGTATGCAACTCTCATGTAATGGTTATTAAAACACTCGCATAAACCATACGAAACTCGCCTTTGGCTCGTTTCGTATCCCGGTTAATGCTCGTGTATTAATAACCATCATTACATGATCGTTGCATAATATACTATTAAAAAACCGACTACAAAAATGAAAAGTTTAATGATTTTCTCAGGGATTCCATAATCAGATGTTGACCAAATTGGGGACCACCCCTGAGGTAAACTCGTTCTAACAAAAAAGAATCATATAAATCGGATAACGTGGTAAAAATTTATCGCTGAACTCAAAAATATTTAGACAGTCAACCATAGAAATAGTATAGAAAGCCGATTCCATATATCAAAAATGAAACCATAAGGAGAAAATAGTGTGTCGGAGCTCATGCGTATAATGGTGCTGGCGCGAACAGGACCGGTGCAAGTTTTTTATTGATCGAACAAATAGTTCGCACGATATTTCAATCATACATTTTTAGAGATGATTCTATACAAAAAACGATTAAAAAAATTTCAAGTTAAGGTAAATATGATTCTGACAGTCCTTATTAAGAAAGATATGGCATAAAATATGAATTAGTTAATTTTCGGCAATCATTAGTACAGTAGTCATGAGATTTTGCTTGTGATTTTAAAAATACTTTCCAGAAAAACCACGTGCTCCGGTTTTGACTACGTTTATTATTAAACAGCGAAATTATATACAAAAACTTTAATCCACAATCTAAATTAGGTACTATCACAAGAAAATCACTGTTACAATAATTAATTACTTAACCAAAAACTAAAATACTTTTTAGGTACCTACGTAACCAGAAAGGAGCTGGACCATTTATCCTAATATTGATTTTCTCTCTCCCTACGGTAAAACTTAAAACAATAACAAATTGCCTATAATAATAATAATAATAATAATAATACTCTCCCTAATTCACCCCCCTACGAGTGAATTTTAACCCCAAAAGCTGAGCTTGTCCAAGGAAAGGGACGGCTATTATTATTATTTGCCGTGGCGCTCCGGGGCGACTTAAAGATGATTGATGGTGCCATTTGACTTACAGGTGAGGAAAACCCGGAAAACCTCACCCACCATCATCGAGACGGTAATGTATGGCGAATTTTTTTAATCTGCATGTCATATCAACAGAAATTGAATTTCTATTAATACGCCACACATCAAATCCTAAACCGAACCATGCAATTTAATTAAAAATCCACATGGTCTGGTCTGGGATTCGAAACCCAGCAGTCTCCTATCTAATAGGATCGGTAACTAAACTTATATACATAATGGGCGGATTTTGTTTATACTTAACATTACACTCGCGCATTTAAATATAACTATGCATATAAATATTTACAAACAAAGATACTTTTCCAAACAGGCAATCATTAGTACTGTAGTCACGAGATTTTGCTTGTGATTTGACATCTTATTTGATAATATCATTTGCTACAACTAAATTTAATCTGGGGAGTGCAAAATAGGGCCCAGGAATATTATGTTCGATATTTTTTTACATTTTGTCAGCCGAGAGTATGAGTCGTTAGACAGAAAACCTTTCATGTTACCATTTTCAATATAAATTAAAAAATACTACTACATTTACTTGGTACATATTTTATTTTAATTTTGAACCTTTTTAAAAGGGTCTTTCGGTTCCATAATAAAAATTAGTTGCTGCTTACTAGAAACATTCTATATAGCCTAAACCAATTTATAGTTTGTTTTCGATCAATTTAATACAAAGATTTAAAGTTTTTAGTCGATGATAACATTCCACACCAGCACATTGCAAACCTATTTTATAAATAATAGGAATAAACTTGTAAATCATTAATTTGGTAGTTATCTCACTCATATGATTTTTTTGTTTATATGACTATTTCGATTTCTAAATATATTTTGGCCTTACAATACGAAGCGTTTTGTATCTACCACTTTTTTAATGAACGATGAATGTTGGCAGGCGTGTACCTTTTTCGGAACAAGAGGCGTTTTAACAAGGAAATGATTTTCGAACTATCTAGTTAGTTTTCGGAAAAATAGAAAACGTTTGAAGAAAGTTGTCAATAACAGTTTGTCGTTCATGTGTTTCATTTTGATCAGCTTTCATACTAAATTGCGTAGAATATTTTTCCGATTCAAAATCGAGATTCTCGATATTTCCACAGTTTATTTATAATACCTTCTAAACTGGATTTATCTATCATTTTATATACTTTATAATATATGTTCATGCCCTACTTTTCACTTTATTAACAATTTTTTTTTAACATACTTCAAAATGGTAGGATATTCTCAATTCGTTGAAATATTTTTTTATGTATGTTGAGCGATAATTCTTTACCACGTTGCCCGATTTCTAGGATTATTTTTGTTAGAAAAGGAAACAGTTTTATATACATTAAGTCAAGATCTGAAGATGGGATCCATAAGAAAATCATTAACATCTTTATTTTTAAAGTAGGTTTTTTTTTAAATTTCTTTAAACCTTACTGGTTCGAACGCGGTAAGGAATGAAGAAATGTAAATAATTGTTGTGCCAGCCAAAAAGCGAAGAGGAAGTACCGATTAAAATATCGAGTGACAGAAGAGTTCCTAAGATTGTTGAGATCGGGTTTATGTTTTAAAATGCCTTAAAACCGATATCGATAATGTCTCCCCGTCGCTGGGCAGCCTGTATATAAATATACAGCTCTCTATTCACATAATTATAATTCTTAGGTAGGTTTAGATTTGCAGACATAAATCTTGTAATAAATATAACAGCTGCCTAATACATTGATTACATTTTCATTAGCCAATGTAAAAATGTCTTTTATTGTACCTAGGATTTGACTAAACACTACACAAAACTAAAAATAAAATGCCACTTTCATCGTGTAATTAATGCCGCGTTTGAGAATCCACATCGGATGCATTTTTTACATCTCGAGCGTTTTTTATCCACATCGGACACATCTGTCCCATTACATTTACGTATACTGAATCACGTGATCAAAGATTTACTACTTACTACATCTCAGATGCATCCGATGTGGATTCTCAAACGCGGCATAAATAATAAACTACAAACGGTCCTGTAAGGGCAGCGTCATATAGCCTTGAAACACCGGATTTTAGTGCTATTGCCAGGTCAATATTGAATTTGTAGGTGAATCGCTTATTGAACATTAAAAATACGGTATTAATGACATTAATACGGTATTTGTATATATTTTTGGGAATGTAATTACACATAAATATTATTAGTTGATTATTTAAATGTGTATAAGTTATTTTGTGGCGATATTTCGTAGATATAAACTGTTTAAATCATATAATTTAAAAATTAATTAATTTAAAATTATTTTCTGTTAGGTATGTTTAATATATTTGGCAACACTACAGGGACAAGTCATGCATATTGCGCAAGCTTCTAGACACACTATTTTGCGATGTCAGGCGCAGAGACGCGTTTTTATGCACGCACAGTAGGTTTCAATTTCTGCTTAAATGTTATGTTTATATTGGTCTTCTATATTATTTCTATGCAGTCAACACCAAGAAATTTGAGAGTTTCATTGATATAACACTGTATTTTTTCTCATTTAATATCTAAAACCCCTAGTAAGAAACTGACAGTAAACTTAGCAAGATATTTCTTAAATAACCTGACAACGAAGCTCGATGAGGATGAACAATCGATCTAAAAAGGTTTAAGCTTCTGTGAAGCTTAGGTAAACCTCCCAGTTTTACAGATACAGATGGTAGTAACAAGTCAATAAAAATTTATTTTTTCCAAAAGACAAAATTCAAAATAAGATATTTAATTCACAACGAAAACATATACAGGATGTCCTGTTAAGAATGGGACATAGAACAACTCATTCTCTGATTCATATTTAAAGGTGACAATTAAAAAATTCTTAATGCCTGTAATTTTTTTTAATACTCAGTGTAATTGTTCTAAATTCTACAAACGTTTTTGGTGTCATAAAAAAAAATATTAATTAAACGTTACCAGAGGCGTACGGCATGGGTAAGTAACTTTATCCCTTCTAAATGTCACGCCACTGTTCACACACTAATTTTGGCTATAATTTTAAATTAAAATAAAAGAAAAAGATCTGAGAAATTGGAATTTTTTTTCTATAATTTAAAATGTTTTTTATTTTTAAAGAAATTATTTTTTCTTTTTTTACCAATAAATCATATGATATAAAACTTTTAAGTTATCCAAGAAATATAGAGTTGATAGTTTGCTCCCCATTCCCCCCTTTGAATTGTTCTATCTTCCTTATTTCAAAGTGTCTGACATTCGTTTATACCTATAGCAAACTGACCTTAAGTTTCATTGTTCTATCACCTCACAAAATATTTGTATTCCTTATTGATTCATCTTGTATAGCCATAGAAAAATCAAACCCATATAAAAAAAAACTTTTACAGTGCAAGAAATTCTAATTTTGATATATGGCAACTCTGTTAAAATATTCCTAAAAT